TTGGCTATAGAATAGGATCTTAAAATAGCTCTGAAAGCTCAGAACTTCTGGCCAGACACAGAGGCAATGTAAAATACAAAGTTAGAGGTACTTCACAGGAAAGGCTTACTAACTGTAAACCATTGGTTCTTAGGGTTTTTTTCTTACTGAGTACACCAAAGGGAGAAAACACATTCCAAATCAGTGTTTGGCTCACTGAAAGTGGCCATACTCAGCCCCATCTTATTATGAGAAACCAGTGCTGTAAAGCAAATACTTTTTCTCATTCACCTGAGAAATAAAGTAAGCATACATTATATACAAACCTCATCCAGAGTCTCTTCAGACTTGGTTTCTTTGGGTTTATCTTCATTAAGCTTCACATTTTTCACCTGTTCAGACACTTTACTTATACTTTCAGTACCCTTGAAACGCTGTAAGGAAAATGATCTGGTGTTTATCAGATTCATTCTGGCTAAAAACAAAACTCTTACGGTAAGCATTTTAATCAACAAATTATGTATCTCAAATTATCTCACAAAATAAATTCTGAAATGAGACCCATAACCTTTAGAAAGACCAATTCAAACTCAGAGATATGAATACTATTCAATTAATTCTTTAATTTGTGTGTGTGTGTGTGTGTGTGAAAGGTGGTCATTTCATAGTTAACACGTATCAGGAAGAATTTCTTGAAATCTGCTTTTTTAAAGGCTCAGCCTAGATCTAACCAAGACTTTAAATTAATTAATGAAATGCAGCTGATTTTACATTTATAACTTTTCAGCATCCTTAAGGATTTGCTGACTTAAGTTAAGCTTCCAGAGAATTATTTTTAAAAAATCTGTTCTCATTCAAAATATCAAAACATCCCACCATATGGCAGATTAGCCATGCTAAATTTGACAATCCATTTATGATTATAGTTAAGAAAAAGTGCAAGTGGAAAAACATCAACATAATCTGCAAGTAAATGCATTTAAAACTTCTTCTGGGAATAAAATATCTAAAGTGATATTGATAATAAAATGTAATAGTACTCACCTTACTTTCGAAAAGATGGTTATAGGCTGTAACCAAATGGTCCTTGTTAGCTGTCTTGGCCACATTTTTAATGTTTCCTAGTAATTTATGTTCTGCAAGAAACTGTAAAGAAAAAATTTTGGTTAGTCAAAATAATTTCCCTCAGTAATTAGCCTCCAAATAATAAAAATAAGTGGAAAAAAATAATAATTATTTCCCTCATGTAAGAGAAGGGTATAAAACTAGAAAATGAATTTTTATGTTAGAAATTATCAAGCAAGTTTTCAATCATACTACTAATGATAAATGAAACATTTTATTTTATACTCTGTGTGCATGTGTTAGTCACTCGCTCCATCATGTCCAACTGTCTGCAACCCCATGGACTGTAGTATGCCAGACTCTTCCATCCATGGAATTCTTCAGGCAAGGATACTAGAGTGGGTTGTCATTACCCTTCTCGCGGGGATCTTCCCAACTCAGGGATCGAACCCATGTCTCCTGCATTTCAAGTGGATTCTTTACTATCTGAGCTATCAGGGAAGCCCAATGATAAATGAAACATTATATTTACACTCTACTTCGTAACGAAAACAAGATTTAAGGAAGGTTAAAAAAAAAATACTGTGTACATATGAGCACATTTTAACAGCAAGCACATTTTGGTAACTGGGCAAAGCTACTTCCAGCAGGATGTTACTTGGCCCTGCCCTGGGAGCCTCCAGTCATGTTGGGTTTAGCTATCTTGGCATATATGTAACCCAGTCTTGGCATAACCAAAAGCACTGTTAACACAACGCTGGATACATAGTGTTTGTATAGGCTGTGGTGTCAGACCATTTAGGTTAAAATCCTAGCTGATTTTAGACAAGGGATTAAGCTGTCTCAAGGCTGTTTCTACATCACGTTGAAAGATCAATAACAGCATCCTTCGTCAGAGGCTTCTTGTAAAGATAAATGTAGTAATCCATTTTCAGTCACACAGAATAACTCAATACATATTACCTATTTGACTTATAAAATAATGTATTTAATCTAACAACTCCATTTCTCTCAAATATAAGACTGAGTTGTCAGATGAACACCAAAATACCACTACTGAAATATCAGATCCATGTACCTTCATCTTGAAATCGTGTATTTTATCTACTCTATTATTTCAGTGAAATATGAACTGGCTTGAGAAAATAATTCCACTAAAATGGTACCATAGTATAAAATGGTATCTCTGAGGCATGTTCTTTTTATTTCACCCTTGTTTCCCCAGACAGTATAGTTCCTGCTGTACATGTAAAGTATTTGCAGATGTCAGGATTATCAGGAGTATGAAGCAAGAGGGAGAGTAACTCGATCAATACCTCTCCTTCAAAAACCTGCAAAATTATAAACTACAAGCTTCTCAAAAGAGCCCAGATGCAATTTTTCTAAATGAAGTTTAGAAATTAAGTTAAAAATGGCTGGGATACTACATTTAGACTGTGGCTTTCACTTTCCCCATGTGGGAGACGCTGAGGGCACACAAATTTGTACAGTCGTTCAGCAATTTAAGATATCTCTGCTAAGTCGTTTCAGTCCTTTCAGACTCTTTTTTCAACCCTATGGACTGTAGCCCGCCAGGCTCCTCCGTCCATGGTTATTCTTCAGGCAAGAATACTGGAGTGGGTTGCCATTTATTCCTTCAGGGCATCTTCCTGACCCAGGGATCGAGAACCCGCGTCTCTTAGGTCTACTGCATTGAAAAGCGAGTTCTAATTTAAAATATGAATGATATTAATTTCCGAAGGAAAAAAAGCCGTCTGACAAAAATAACTTTTGACTAGAGGATGGTTAAAATGGAGACTGTGATGAAAAATGCGGGGCGTAAAAGTGTGAAGAATGTCAAATAGATTTCTTAGATTATAACAATAGGAGACCACTGAACACAAAATACGCAAATAACTCCCCTAAACGTAAGAGTGAAAAGGTCATTTGAAGCGTCGATATTTTAAGTTAATCCGCAAACTACACGTTGTTAAAAAAAAAAAAATTTACACTTTTTAATGTTCAGTGTTCGGGAATCGATGAGAAAGGCAAATCGCAATCCGAAATCTTTTCCCTAGTAATATACACTCCCCTTCAGGGATCTCAACCAAGCCTTCAGTCCTCGGGCTCCCATCTCAACCCCCAATATCTCCTGGGTTCCTTCTGTTTCACGGCCTCCACCCTCACTCAAGGATGTCAATAAGGTTCTAAATCTCCGATTGCTGCGTGCCCCAAAAGATAAAGCTGCTCCACTCGCCCAAGCAAGGCCGACCTGGGGGGCGGGAGCGCGTCTCGGGAGCGCACGCGGGGCCGCTTCGGCCTTCAGGCCGCGGGCCGCTGGAGAGCGAGGGCGGGGGCACGGAGGAATATGGAATGTATGGGCATCTACGGGGGGGTGAAGTGTCCCTTAGCCGCACCAGCCCGGCCGCCCCGCCAACTCCGGTACCGAATCTGAACCGTGATCCTGCAGAAACTTGATAATGTCCTTCTTGGGGAGCTGCTCGCTGCGCAGCTGCTCCACGGTCCAGGCCCGCTGCGGAACGGCCGCCGCCATCTTCCCCCGCTGCCTCCGCTTTACTGAGCCGGCCCGCCTGGCTTCGGCATCGCCCCTCCCCAGGGGCGTGGCGCGAGCGCCACTCGGAGCTCGAGGGGGCTGGGTCACCGCGATACCCCACAGGATTGGGGCCAGTTTTGAGTGACGTCAACGCTCTGCTCTGCGGGCCTCTTTGTTAAGTCCGGGGTAAAACCTGCTGAGGTGGCCCTGAAGACTGACTCCGCGTTTTGGGACTCTTGTGAGGCGACGACCGCCGGTGGTAGCGATTGTTTACCACCCATTATCCACATTTGTATATTACCGACAAGCTGCTGTGCATTTAAAGTCGATAATCTGTTTGAAGAAAACAACAGTATTCAGTCGTCTAATATTATTTTGCCTAGTTCTACCCTAAAAATTCACACCTGAATAGGCTCAGTCCTTGTCCATCAGAACAACCTATATCCTACCACTTCCCTTTTAAAACTCACACAAATGAAACTAGAATAGCAGCCTGTTCCCTTTCCCTTCCCAAATACAAACACACGATAGTTTGTCTAAAAGCAAGTCCAGACACTTGACCAAATAAAACAAAGTAGAGTAGCTACACGCAAGGTGATGCTTGCTGATGGTGGTGATGAGGGGGTGACATTATTAGTGGTCCAGAAAACCTCATGATGAGTGTGTACTTTTCCTCAAAACACAAGGAAACAAATCTACAGAGGTTACTCAAAGTCGCTAGGTTTAGAGAGGAGAAATCCGGAATTGTATCCAAGTTTGGAGGTAGAATGCTATCGCTAGAGGAGAAAAATATCTCCCAGACGCTGATTTTACGGCTCTATATCGTTTATGAAGATGTAATGATGGAGCAACAGGACACTTTTTTTCCTTTGGAATTTTCCAACGAATATCACGACCAAACCATTCACTTCCCTTTAAACAATAAAAATATTAAGATAGGAGGTTGCTGCTCCTGAAAAAGCTGGCATTTTGTTTTCTCAGTCTGCATAAAGAAATGAGGTGTTATTTAATTTTGTCTAAACACGTTTGTTTTTACCTCATCTACCAATTTAAAAACAGCCAACAACAAGGAATAAGGCACGTTAGACGCTCAGTAACGTTAACTTAAAAAAGGCGGGGGGGTGGGGAGGTATGCATTGTTTCGGAACCTCAAGGTTATTTCAGTTCAGTTCAGTTCAGTTCTCTCGCTCAGTCGTGTCCGACTCTTTGCGACACCATGCACTGCAGCAAGCCAGGCTTCCCTGTCCATCACCATCTCCCTTATTTACTATATCATTTTAAGCAATATCACTTTACCCATGACGCCAGGACATATAATCACTTATTGGAAATGGAACCCAAATTTAGAGTCGGTAAAAAAAATTGACAAGGGGACGAAATTTAGAGTAACTCCACGGTAATGCGCATGCGTCTCCTAGAGGACCGCGGGGTTTCCGGGAGGACCGCCAATCATCTTCCCCACGCAAACTCAGTGGCCGCACTTTCAACAGGATAAACTGGCCTCAGTCCCGCCCACTGGTTCCTCTGTGTTTTTTACGCGAAGGTAACCGATGGGGATTGGAACGGAGGCTGTTGAGCTGCCGCAGTTGCTGGCGTCTGAGGGTAGCCTTCGGTGGTCGTCGGCCTAATGAGCGGACGGCAAAAAACGCTTTTCCAGACGTGGGGCTCAAAAGTTTCTCGGCCCACTGGGGCTCCGAGTTGCAACTCTGGAACTGAGCGGCCTCAGAGCACAGGCATCTCCAGGGCGCGTTTTCCTGCAGTGGCAGAGGCCGCCGAGGTTGAGCCCGAATCAGACGATGATGTGTTGCTGGTCGCGGTGTACGAAGCAGAGAGGCAGCTGAGTCTAGAGAATGGCGGGTTCTGCACCTCAGCGGGCGCCCTGTGGATTTACCCTACTAATTGCCCAGTGCGAGACTACCAGCTGCACATCGCCAGGACCGCCCTCTTCTGCAACACGCTGGTCTGTCTGCCCACCGGGTTGGGAAAGACCTTTATTGCCGCTGTGGTCATGTACAATTTCTACCGCTGGTTCCCTTCTGGCAAGGTGGTTTTCATGGCCCCCACGAAACCCCTGGTGACACAGCAGATCGAGGCTTGCTACCGGGTGATGGGTATCCCGCAGTCCCACATGGCCGAAATGACAGGTATCTTAGAAACAGTGGACTAACTTGAAATTAAGAGCTGGGCACCCAGGGGAAAGCTCGTATTCTGATGGAACTAGCGCCAAAGGAATTCCGGACCCATGTGGAATAGACCCCAGATCACAGTATGCTTATTTTACCTCTTCTTTCTTGAAACATCATCTCCTTGTAGCAAGTCCAGCTCTAATAGGGTTGCTTTATTCAATCTTCAGAGAATTTCTGTAGCTTGTCAAAGCATTTTGAAGTGGTTATGTGTGTATACCCCATTGGTAAGTGAAAGCGAGGTTTTCTGCCTTTCTTGCTCAGAAGGATTTCCCAGGTGAAGAATTTTCTTCTCTTCAAGTATTATGTCATTTTACAAGGCTTCTCTAAAGGTAGTCTAGTTGTGATTTTTGGTAAAAGCTGGCGTTGACATCTGGACCACAACAAAGCTTTAAAATGTTGCTTTCTCCTATTTGTCAAGTTAGCACCTTGGAAGCAGATCACCAATACAGGAATGCATGCTGAAAATAGACCAAGCTCTTTATATTTTACAGGTAACAGTCTGAAGTTTAGAATGTGTGATGTCACTTTTTTTTTTTTTTTTTTTTACAGGATCTACTCAAGCTTTCACCAGGAAGGAAATCTGGGGCAGTAAGAGGGTTCTTTTTCTGACGCCTCAAGTCATGGTAAATGATCTTTCTAGAGGAGCTTGCCCAGCTGCTGAAATAAAGTGTCTAGTTATCGATGAAGCTCATAAAGCCCTTGGAAATTATGCTTATTGCCAGGTAATCTTGTTAAAAAGTATTTTATAGTGTAAAATATTGTTGTAGAGCATTTGGGGGAATAAATTTTAATGATGGAAGTTACTGATGGCATTATTATGAAAAGCTTTATACTGATTATCTCAACAGATGGTGATAGAAATACTTTGCTTCATCCATTGAAATCAGTGTCTCTGCTGGTTTCTTTCTTTTTTTTTTTTTAACTTTAACAAGACCATTAGTGTCAGATGTAGATGATAAGAATCTCCTTGATCCAAAGTAGGGTATGGATGGAGACTTGAGACTAAGATAGTAGTCAAAAGACTGTTAGTGGATACACATTGTTATTCCCTGTCAGGTAAAATAGTAACTCAGAGTTATTGTTTTGAGAAATGAATGACATGATATATGTAACATACCTACACTGCCTTCCAGTTAAGTTCTATGGGAATATAAAGTACAAAAGTGAGGAGGTGGGATATAGCTGGAGAGGCACTTAACATCAGGTCATGAAGGCATTTGTATTCTATGCTAAGCAGTTTGAATGCCCTTTGTAGTTCATAGGGGATATAGATGGTAGAGACTAACTGAAAAATGTTTAACTAGGGTGATACTTAGGCCTTCAGAAGCATCACTACAAACAAAGCTAGTGGAGGTGATGGAATTTTCAATTCAGTTCAATTCAGTCACTCAGTCGTGTCCGACTCTTTGCAACCCCATGAATCACAGCATGCCAGGCCTCGCTGTCCATCACCAACTCCCAGAGTCCACCCAAACCCATGTCCATCGAGTCGGTGATGCCATCCAACCATCTCATCCTCTGTCGTCCCCTTCTCCTCTTGCCCTCAATCTTCCCCAGCATCAGGGTCTTTTCAAATGAGTCAGCTCTTTGCATCAGGTGGCCAAAGGATTGAGTTTCAGCTTCAACATCAGTCCTTCCAATGAACACCCAGAACTGATCTCCTTTAGGATGGACTGGTTGGATCTCCTTGCAGTCCAAGGGACTCTCAAAAGTCTTCTCCAACACCACAGTTCAAAAGCATCAATCTTCTGCCCTCAGCTTTCTTTATAGTCCAACTCTCACATCCATACCTGACCACTGGAAAAACCATAGCCTTGACTAGACGCTATTTCAAATCCTAAAAGATGATGCTGTGAAAGTGCTGCACTCAATATGCCAGCAAATTTAGAAAACTCAGCAGTAGCCACAGGACTGGAAAGGGTCAGTTTTCATTCCAGTCCCAAAAAAAGGCAATGCCAAGGAATGTTCAAACTACCACACAATTGTACTCATCTCACACACTAGCAAAGTAATGCTCAAAATTCTCCAAGCTAGGCTTCAATAGTACATGAACCAAGAACTTCCAGTTGTTCAAGCTGGATATAGAAAAGGCAGAGGAACCAGAGATCAAATTGCCATCATCTGTTGGATCATAGAAAAAGCAAAAGAGTTGCTTTTTTGACTGCCTCTTTTTTATCTACCTCTGCTTTATTGACTATGCCAAAGCCTTTGACTGTGTGGATCACAGCAAACTGTGTGGAAAATTCTTCAAGAGATGGGAACACCAGACCTCCTTACCTGCCTCCTGAGAAATCTGTATGCAGGTCAAGAAGCAACAGTTAGAACCGGACATGAAACAACAAACTGGTTCCCGATTGGGAAAGGAGTACGTCAAGGCTGTATATTGTCACCCTGCTTATTTAACTTATATGCAGAATACATCATGAGAAACGCTGGGCTGGAAGAAGCACAAGCTGGACTCAAGATTGCCAGGAGAAATATCAATAACCTCAGATATGCAAATGACACAACACTTATGGCAGAAAACGAAGAGGAACTAAAGGGACTCTTGTTGAAAGTGAAAGAGGAAAGTGAAAAAGTTGGCCTAGAACTCAACATTCAAAAAACAAAGATCATAGCATCCAGTGCCATCACTTTATGGCAAATAGGTGGGGAAACAATCGAAACAGTGACAGACTTTATTTTCTTGGGCTCTAAAATCACTGCAGATGGTGACTGCAACCATGAAGTTAAAAGATGCTTGCTCCTTGGAAGAAAAGCTATGACCAACCTAGACGGTATATTAAAAAACAGAGACATTCCTTTGCCAGCAAAAGTCTGTCTAGTCAAAGCTATGGTTTGTCCAGTAGTCATGTATGGATGTGAGAGTTGGACCATAAAGAATTCTGAGTGCCCAAGAATTGATTCTTTTGAACTGTGGTGTTGGAGAAGACTCTTGAGAGTCCCTTGGACTGCAAGATCGAACCAGTCCATCCTAAAGGAAATCAGTCCTGAATATTCATTGGAAGGACTGATGCTGAAGCTGATGTTCCAATACTGTTGGCCACCTGACGTAAAGAACTGTCTCCTTGGAGAAGACCCTGATGCTGGGAAAGATTGAAGGCGGGAGGAAAAGGGGATGACCAAGGATGAGATGGTTGGATGGTATCACCGACTCAATGGACATGAGTTTGAGCAGGCTCCGGAAGTTGGTGATGGATAGGGGAGCCTGGTGTGCTGCAGTCCATGGGGTCACAAAGAGTTGGACACAACTGAGCGACTGAACTGGGGTGATACTTCAGTTTTAAAAGAGATTAGAGGAGAGAAGAGTAAAGGCAGGGAGTACAGTGAGGGATCAGGGGAATTTAAGATGACTCCCAGGCTTCGAACTTGGAAGATTGTCAGGAGGGTGATGCAGTTAGTCAAATGGAGTTCTGGAAGCAGAGAACATCTGAGGTACTGTGGAAGGAGTGAGTGCAGTTTTAGATTGTTGGATTTGAGGTGTGTGTGAGGAATTTAGGAATAGATATTCAGTAAGGAGTGGGTGACAGAAGTACAGATCTCAATGGAAAGTTCTGAGGTAGAGATACAGATTTGGAAACCATCAACATACAGGTGATAGGTAATTAAAATAGTAATAGCTGGTGATACTAGGGAGAGGGAGTCGAGTCAGCATAGAGAGAAAGTTGATTTTACTTAGTGCGGAGAGATGAATTTTACTGCCAGTTTGTGATTTTGTAAAGCAGTTTTTGGGGGAACTTTGAGTATTATATATCTGTATTTTCTTCTTGAGAATTGTCATGTTAGAGTTGATGTCAGCCAGGAAATGGATACATTTTTCCATTCATGTCTTTCCAAGTTAAATTAATACCCAATGTGTTAAAAGTTTCTGCTTGGGGAGGGGCATTTATAAAATTTTATTCTAACTGTATGGAATTCATTTGTACATTTAGCTCATATTTATGCTCAGTCTCTCAGTTGTGTCCAATTCTTTGCAACCCCACAGACTGTAGCCCACCAGGCTCCTCTGTCCATGGGATTCTCCAGGCAAGAATACTGGAGTGGGTTGCCATTTCCTCCTCCAGGGGATCTTCATGACCCAGGGATCGAACCCAAGTCACTTGCATGTCCTGCATTTGCAGGCAGATTCTTTACCACTGAGCCACCTGCGTAGCCAAGGCTTATATATAGCAACTTAAAAAAAAAATTTACGTATTTTAGTCACACTGCATGCTTTGCAGGATCTCAGTTCCCTGACCAGTGATTGAACTTGGGCCATGGCAGTGAAAGCCTGGAATCCTAACCATTAGGCAATCAGAGAACTCCCATTAGAAAATTTATTTTCAAAAAATTTCTTAGTATTAGGGTGATTTTTTTTTTTTCTTAACTACGAGGCCTAGGCTTTTATTGAGTACAGTGAGACATGACTGACTTCTTTAATATCTAAATAGCATTGCAAGTTCTTTGAAGATTTTTTTTTTTTATGTGGACCATTTTTAAACACTTTGTTGAATTTGTTTCAGTATTTCTTATGTTTTATGTTTTTTCAGTATTGAATTTTTTACAGTATTATTTCTGTTTTATGTTTTTTGATTTTTTTGGCTGAGAGACATGTGGAGTCTTAGCTCCCTGACCAGGGAGTGAACCTGTACCCCCTGCATTGAAAGGCAAAGTCTTAACTGCTGGACCTCTAGGGAAGTCCCAAGCAATGAGAATTTATACTGCGTTGAATATTCCAGATAGTTTCCAACAGGCACACAGCTTGTTGAAGAAGGTAGCTTCCTGGATTACAAACACAAAACGACTTCTACAAAATGTTTGAGAATCCCTCCTGGAAAGAAAATAATATATCTGGGATTTAAAAAAAAAAAAAAAAAAAAATATATATATATCTGGGATTTTATCTTTTATCAGTTAATTAGGACAATTGTTTTTAAGTCTCCTCCCTTAAGTATTATTATTATTTTTTTTTTTGGCCCTTGGCAGCAAAAGTGCAGAGCCCTAGCCACCAGACCACCAGGAGATTCCCTATAATGTTTTATCTTTGATATCTATTCTGTATCATATTTTTTATTTTTTGAGTGTTAATCAATATTCAATTTGCATTTCATTGATTTCATCATTAACATGGGTAAAAATTAGAGCAGTGTTAAGATAACCTGGTTTTAGCACTATTTACAATAGTAAGACATGGAAGTAACCCAAATGTTCATGGACTGATGCTTGGGTTAAGAAGATTTGTCATGTCTATATGCCAAATGTGTGCTATACACACACCTATACATACATACATATACACACACACTTGGTGCCTCAACTGGTAAAGAATCCTCCTGCAATGCAGGAGGCTCAGGTTTGATCCCTTGGTTAGAAAGATCCCCTGGAGAAGAAAATGGCAACCCACACCTGGAGAATCCTATGGACAGAGGATTCTGGCAGGCTACTGTCCATGAGGTTGCAAGAGTTGAAAGTAACTTAGTAACTAAACCACATACACACACACACACACACAATGCAATATTACTGAGCCATAAAAAGAGTGAAATACTTTTGGCACTCAGTGAAATAAGTCAGAGACAAATACTGTATGATATTAGTTATAGAAACAGACTTACAGACATAGAAAACAAACTTAGTTACCAAAGGGGCGAGGGGAAGGGGGAGGGACAAATTAAGGGTAGTATGGGATTAACAGAATCAATCTACTATATGTAAAATAGATAAGCAGTAAGGGTCTACTGCAGAGCACAGGGAATTATGCCCATTATCCTATAATAATTTATAATGAAGTATAATATGCAAAAATACCAACTCACTATGCTCCACACCTGATACTAAGACAGTATTGTAAACTATACTTCAATTAAAAAATAATAATCTGCTTTTAGTTTCCTCCAGCTAATGTGAAACTATGGATACTAAAAGCTGTTCTGCACCTCAGTTTACTTAGGGTCCTTTGATTCTGTATTGGGGCGTATGGGAATCTGGCAAATTACAGCAGAAGTGGGTGTTGAATTCTAAATGCGAAGCCTAGAATGAAAAAAAAAACATTTAAAAAAAAAAAGCCTAGAATGATGCTTTGGTGCCACTGAAGAAATGTTTTAGGATTTAAAAGGGGATTTAGATTTTAAGAATTATCCCAAATTAACATTATTCTTTTAGGAATAAACTTAATTTAAAGACTGTGAGCCTTCCACCTGAAATCTAGCTCCTTTAAAATTTTTCCTAAACAAAGCTTTTTTGACTTCAAATCTAATTCCATGTTGGTATTTAATTTTTTTCTATTTTTATGTTATGATTTATCTTAATCTGGCAGATGTACATATGGATATAGCTGTAAGATTAGACTGTGACCTGAGCAATGGACAATAGACTTGATCTTTTTCTACCATTTGCTCTTGAATTATCCCTCTGCATATTTTGATTTGCCTCAGTATAGGCCTCGATGTTATAGCTTTATATGCAAAAATACACTGAATAGTTTAGAAGAAACCCTAAAGTGTTTCTCGTTGGTATAGAGTATAAACCTAAATCATTTGCTCTTCAGACAACATAACTAATGATGGTTCTTTCTGATAGCCCATCAATACTCTAAATAAGGAACAATGATAATGGACCATATATAATAGCTTGTTTAACAGAATTATTTTTACTTTTGTGTTGGATAGATGAAATTAAAAAATTGGTTTTTTCTTTTTCTTTTTTTTAAGGTTGTAAGAGAACTAGTCAAATATACGAATCACTTTAGAATCTTGGCTCTTAGTGCCACACCAGGTAGTGATATAAAAGTAAGTAAAATTTATTACCATTTAAGAAAATAAGAACTTTTGTATGCAACCAAATCAGTTTCCCATTCTAGTATTTAGTTTAACATCAGGAGTACAACATTTCTTATAAGATGCCTTCCTTTTCTTCTATGGTTGCAGGAAATTGCGTTAGTAGTTTTCAGACTTCAGCATGCCAAAGAATCACTTGACACTTAAATTGTTAGTGTTTTCAGTTCTTTTCAAATTTTGTCTTGAAATGACTTTAGACTTCCAGAAAATATGCAAAAATTAAAATCTCTGTATATCATTCATTCAGCTTCCCCTAATGTTATCATTTTACATAATTGTAGTCAAATGATCAAAACCAGGAAATTAATATTGGTACAATACTAGTAACTGATCTGCAGCCCTTATTTGAATATTGCCAGTTTTCCCACCAGTGTCCTTTTCTGCTCCTGGGTCCAGTCCATTATCCCACACTGCCTTTAGTTATCTTGTCCCCTCAGTTCCTTCCCAGCTGTGCCAGTTCCTTGTTCTTTCCTTGTCTTCTGTGACCCTGACACTTTTGAAGGGTAGGTGTCAGTTGTTTTGTAGAATATCCCTTATTTGCAGTTGTCTGACGTTTTCTTAGGGCTTCCCTGTTGGCTCAGAGATGACTGGAGTGAAACTATGTGCATTTTTGACAGGAATACCCCAAAAGTGATGCTGTACTTTTCTTAGAGCATTGCATCATAGAATACATGATAATTTGTGTTTTTACTGGTGCTGTTAATCTTGACTTGGTTAAGATGATGCCTTTCTGGTTTCTACATTGTAAAACTCCTGATTTTCCCTTTGTAATTAAATCTGTTGTAGGGGAGATATTTTAGCACCCAGTGATGGTTCTTGCTTGTAACAATTATTTTCTGTGCTGTTTGCCTAATCATTATTTCCTTTTTTTCTTTTTTACATTTCTTCTACATTTTTAAATTTTGAATTCTTCTGTAGTGAAGAGCTGTCTTCTTATTTATTTTTATTTCAGTTCTTTACATCAATAGGGATTAATGAGATACATACATATATATATATATATGTATATATATGTGTGTGTATATATATATATATATATAAAATGAGCTACAATCAAGTACCATCACTAATAATTTTTTGTTCACATTGTTTCAGGTTTGGCTATTGGGAGTTCCTTGAAGATGGCTCCTGTGCCTTTAGAAAGCACTCTTTTGCTTGTTTGTTTGTTTTGAATACTTCCTAACCTACTGGAATCACAGGATATTTTATGCTCATTTAGTATTTTTCCTGTTCCCTCTGTGGAATGAACCATTTCTCCAGGGAGCTTGGGTTTCCTTTATTGGAGGATGGTAAAAATACAGATATTGAGCTGTGTCCAATGTCACTCTAATTTAGTAGTTCTGAATGGTCTTTTGTGTTGGGTTTTGGATAACTTCAAAGATAGCTTTCAGTTCTGCCAAGCCGTTAAGACTTTTTTCCTTCTGTCTACAACCTCGATTATTTTTAGAAATTTCTGTTCTTTTGTTTCCTGCCACCCTTATTTAAAACATGCTTGATGGTTTTTAGTCATCTTTTAAGTCTCCTCTTAAATATCACCTCTTCAGAAAAACTCACTCTTAAGCTATCGAAAGTCAACTCTTCCTATCTTGTGATTTTCTTCTTAATATCTATCACAGTCTGTTATTCTTTTGCTTATTCACTCCTGTCTTTTTAGCTCCTGCTGAATTAGTAGCTCCTGCTGAATTAGAAGCTACATGAAAGTAGGGATTATGTATGTCTTGATATCTCTCACCAATTCAATATCTAGCATGTGGGAGTTACTCAAATATTTGTTCAGTGATTAAAAGTACTAAAGTATTACTCAATTTTATAAAATGGTCATACATTTACCCTAGATACTGAATGTGTGTGAACCTTAAGTGACTATACCTTACTACTATATTAGGCATTATACTAGGTGTTGGGAATACAAAAGATGTGATTCTTGCCCTAGAGTACTTTTTGTCTGAAAGCCCATGAGGTTTTTCCAGTTTTAAAAAAAAAAAAAAGAGTTCTTAATTTCTAGATACTTTCAGGATTGATTCTCCCTCCTACCATCTATCCATCCATCTACCTCTCCCTTCCATTCTTTTCATTATACTCAGGAGTACTGTGGTCTATTAGACCAACAGGAATTATACCAACAGGATTTTTGGTTTTTTTCATATTCTCTATTTTTACAATTAAGTTTCTTTATAAGCTTTGGTTGAATGAAATTTAGCTTCAGAAATGTATCGACACATATATATATATATATTTAAATGGCAAATATTTCATTCACTTATTTAAAATATTTTTATTGGCCACACCATGCAGCTTGTGAGATCTTAGTTCCCCGAGACTTAACCGCTGGGTTGCCAGAGACTTCCCTCCACTCATTTATTAATAATTGATTCAGTGTAGGACCTGTTCCCTCAGTTTCTTAGCAAGTCAATTAGTAAAGTATTCTTGAGATACAGTTGTATGCTTTAATACTAAAGGGACTTCTCTGTTTTCCCCATTAAAAATCAGTGGAAAAAAGTATTTGCTAAGGAATCAGGAAGTCTGGGTTTTATTTAGTTCCGGCTCTAAAACTGACTGATATATTTTGAGGATTTGGTTTGCTAATCTAAAATTTCTCTTTTGTCTGACTCTTTATTGATAGGAAAACACAAAGATATATTGAGGAGCTTGCTGAACATTGACTAATATCTTATATCTTGGATGCTTGGCTTGAAGGGCAACATGCAAGAAAGAGGTTATAAAAGCCTTTTTCCTCTGTTGCTCCACTTCTGATGTGCTATACTTTATAGTTTTAAAAATATTTGAAGATCTTTTTCAGAAATTTACTGCTATCTTATTTTTGTTAGTGACAAACTAAAACATTTAACAAGTAATATAATACATAATTGTGCTTAATTGATTTCCTGTAGGCTGTGCAGCAGGTTATTACTAACCTACTCATTGGGCAAGTAGAGCTTCGTTCTGAGGACTCACCAGATATTTTGCCATACTCTCATGAAAGACGAGTTGAAAAGCTTGTTGTTCCCCTTGGTGAAGAGCTTGCAGCTATCCAAAAGGCGTATATACAGGTAAGCCATTTTTATCGTAATTCAGGGTTTGTTTGTTTTTTTAATTACTTATTATTTTGGCTGTGCTGGATGTTCCTGTCGGCTTGGGCTTTTCTCTAGTTGCAGCGAGCGGGGGCTGCTCTCATCGTGGTGGCTTCTGGTTGCAGCGCACGGGCCCAGCGGTTGTGGCTTCTGGGCTCTGGGGCACGGACCCAGCGGTTGTGGCACGTGGGGCTCAGTGGCTCCGTGGCACGAGAGGCTTCCCGGACCAGGGATGGAGCCTGTGTCCCTATGCTGGCGGGCGGAGTCTATACCACCGAGTCACAGCGAAGCCCCGGGGTTTTAATAAATGAGCTGATAATGTAATTATTTTTGTTAATAAAATCTGACTGTGAAAGTATATAGTCATTTTATGTAATTAATATGTTGAAAAACTCTTTGAAATTAAGATTTCTAGCATGAGCACCATGTTCTATTTGTGCTGGCAGACTGTGAGTTAAAGAGGAAATATTTAATGATGGACCGTTTCTAAAGCCAATAATAGGCTTATAGTTTATATTTCTTAAATAAGCCTTTTAATTGATGTTTAACCCTCCCCCACCAAATCTGTGGACAGCAGAGTACACAAAATGTAAGTGTGCAGCTCAGTGAATCTTCACATAGTGAACACACTCAAAACATGTATCCAGATTCAGTTAGAAGTTTCTTTGTAAGGAAATATCTTTCAGTCCCTGGTCCCTGCATAGCAGTGTTTCTCAACTATCTTACCTACTTGGCGGCATTTAGCAATGTCTTGACACATTTTTGGTTGTTCTACTAACGAGGGGGAGTGGGGTGTAGACTTGCTACTGGCATCCAGTGTACAGAGGCCAGGAATGCTATTGACATCCCACAGTGGACAGGAAGCCCCCAATAACAAATAATTATCTGGTGCAAGTGTCAGTACTGGAGCTGTAAGAGAAACTGCTTGGACAGTTAACACTTTCAATGGGAGAAATTTGGGATAACAGTTTTCTAAGGTTCATGATTGCTGTCATGCTGGGAGAATACCTTGTTTTCATATCCTTATTGCTGTGGATTAAAGATGGCTACAGATTTCTTTCCGTTGAGGGGCAAGGTACATTTCTCTTTCCCTAGAATCTAGGCCAGCCCTCTGCTGACTTTGACCAATAGAATGGGATGAACCCTGAGCCATGGTGAGCCTCAAAAGAAAGGAGAAGCCAGTAGATAGCTCGAAGTGAGAGTGCAGACATGTGGTCCCAGCTGACCTGTTTCAGCTGCCCCCAAGCCGTCTGAGGCTCCAGACATCAGAAGCAGAGACAAACTGTCGCTGCAGTGCCCTGACAGATTCCTTTTTGATTTTTAATATTTTGTTTTGCAATAATTTTAGACTTTAAGGGAATTTGCAAAAATAGTGTGGAGAGTTCCAGTGGGGAGATACTTTGAGACTATGCAAATATATCTTGTTTCTCAAAATATTTTGTTCACTAACTTTAAAATATAGTGATAGTTCTTGCCTCCAACAGTTACTTGTGTATTTGCCTAATCATTGTTTCTTGTTTCCCTCATTTTTTTTTTTTTTGGCATTTGTTAATTTGAATGCCTGTATAATGAAGAGCTGTTTCTTTTCCCGTTTATTTTTTCAATTCTTTATATTAATGTGGATAATTTTTTTACTAATGGGTAATTATTTTCTCTTGTGGGTTAAGGGCTGTACTATGATTATTAATTTTATTGCTCAGATTGTTCCAGCTGTGGTCTTTAGGAGCTCTTTTAAGACGGCTCCCGTGCCCTTTAGACATACGCTTTTTTGCAAGGGGCCATCAGGGGAGGCCTGTTGCTGTGTAGTTGCTCAGTCTTGTCCGACTTTGCGACCCCGTGGGCTGTAACCCGCCAGGCTCCTCTATCCTTGGGATTCTCCAGGTAAGAATACTGGAGTGGGTTGCTTGCTGTTTCCTCCCATACAGGGGAGACCTACTTCCTCACTTTCTGGCATTACAAGATATTTTATAGTCATTTAGTCGTTGTTCTGTCCCAGCTGTGAAATCAGCCATTTCTCCAAGGAATCCTTGTACCTTTTATGAAAGAGTTGTGTTTAAAGACCAAGACGTGGGAACTAGATATGCTTGTTGTTACTGTGTTTCATCCCTTCTAGGCCCTCTCTGTGACCCGCTTGAATTCTTTCCTGCAGAAAAACCATCAAGAACAAATAAAATGGTTGTTTTAATCTATGGTATTTTGAATTAGTTTGTTATTCAGGAATAAGTAAACAAAATGTTCTTCTATCATTTAACCTTTAATACGTCTTAAAGAGAAATTTTATAAAAATATGGTTTGATTTTTGTTTCTAAATTACTTGTAACAAACTTCTAAGTGTTAATAATTTAAGATGTGGCAGAGTCTTTTTGATCATCATCTCATAAACACTAATACATTTGGTTATGATTAAATCATTCCATTTTTAAGAATATAAAATTGTAATTTGTACAATCACGTGTAATTTAACTTCATTGATTTTTTTAAGATTGCTTCTTTAGGCAACAGGTATGATCAGCAAACTGGAAGAGAGGAGAAATTGAAATGTCCTAAAATAGTTGTATTTTAGGAAATAAAACATAGGTACAAATTTGAATGGTTAATTGCATATTGCTATAGTCCCTCTTCATCTGGAGAGCCCTTTTTACCTTCACTGTGAAATCAAGCTCAGGACCTTTTATCTGCTGTTTCCTCTGCCTAGATTGCTGTGTCTTTAGAACTTCTTGTGCTAGACCTACTTATCATTCTGCTGTCAAGTATTACCTCTTAAAAGAAACTATCTTTGGTGGCGTGAACACATGGCGGGCCGTGGGAGCCTGGATGCCCAGCTCTCCCCTGAGAGCACCACTGCTGTTAACCCATGCAGCAGCAAGCTCTGTCCCTTGACCAGCCCAGGTCACCACCTTTCCTGCAGCTCAGAACCAGAGGCAGCCCTGGCCCAGAGGTGTCCACCCCCAGCCAGGGGCCTTCATGGGGAAGGGCTGCCCAGAAGAGGAAGGGTACTGGGCCAGGTCAAAATCCAAGGACCCAATCCTTTCCATCCTGGGGCCAGACACAGGGATGAGGCAGGGGATCGTGGCAGCATGGTTGCTGCTGCTCCCAGTGCTAAGCCGCTTCAGTCGTGTCCGACACTTTGCGACCCCATGGACTGTAGCCCACCAGGCTTCTCTGTCCGTGAGACTCTCCAGGCAGGCATACTGGAGTGGGTTGCTGTGTCCTCCTCACTGCTGTTCTCAACCCTCCCGCAGAAAAATAGAAAGAAACCATCTTTGTCCACCTTAAATAATAGTAACCCCCTTCCCCTCATACAGTATTGCTATGTTTTAAGTTCTTGAATACATTTGTCATAATTGAAATTCTCTACTTTATTTCTTTATTCCTTTCTTCCCTCTATTGAATGTAAACTTTATGAAAGCAGCAATTCATTTGTCTCAGCCACAGTATCCCTAGCATCTAGTATATGCTTAATGAATATTTTTGAAAGAATGAAATCAGTGAATGAAATTAAAGGTATTCAAGGCCACTTTGACTGTCATCACTCCGCAGATATTTATCAGACTTGTTCTGGGCACTGACGATGCGACAGAATAAAAAAATCAAGGCCCTCCTTTCATTGTGCTTAGGTTAGGGAAAGGGGAGGAGAGTTAAGAAATAAAACAGCTAAACACACGTGTTCTTAAATTATAATTGAATCTAATAATTGATTCTGCTGACTCTCATATGGATATTATCTGGGGATAAATGTCAAGTACTTTAAAATTTTATCATCTCTTCTGTGTTTACTTGAAGTTTGCATTTTAAGACTAGTATATAATTTAATATATATAACTATTTTACTATGTGAGGAAATGATTGTATTTGAAAAAGGATTTTAAAACAAAAACTAAATTTCTTTGAAACTTGCAGATTTTGGAAGCATTTGCCAGTTCTTTGATTCAGAGGAATGTTTTGATGAGAAAAGATATTCCCAATCTAACAAAATACCAGATAATTCTTGCAAGAGATCAATTTAGGAAAAACCCATCTCCAAATATTGTGGTAGGTATTTTAAAATAAATTTTCATGATAGACTTAAGTTCTTACTCAAAGCAAGGATGAAATATAAATAATGATTAGTTTTTGATGTATATTAGCTCATCAAGAATTCAGGTATGATTTATATAGTTTACAGTGAAGTGAAAGTCGCTCAGTCATGTCTGACTCTTTGCAACCCCTTGGACTATACAGTCCATGGAATTCTCCAGACCAGAATAATGGTGTAGGTAGCCTTTCCCTTCTTCTGGTGATCTTCCCAACTCAGGGGTCAAACCCAGGTCTTCCTCATTGCAGGCGGATTCTTTGCCAGCTGAGCCACAATGGAAGCCCCAATATTTATACAGTTTATAAAGCACCAAAAAAATCTAGCAGGAACAGTTTGATAATGTGAATTAAGACAAATTAACCTTTTAACATTTTTTAAAGTTTATTTACCTATTTGGCTGTCAGGTCTTAGTTGTGGCATGCGGTATGCAGAGCTCGTGGGCTCAGTAGTTGTGGCCATGGGCCTAGTTGCCCCACATCTTGTGAGATTCTATCTCCCTGACCTGGGAGCAAACCCACTTCTTCTGCATTCCAAGAAGGACTCCAAACCACTGGACCACTAGGGAAGTCCCTATCTTGTAAGTTTTAAAATTGATCTTTCAGTTCACTTCTGTTCTGCAAAGTCAAAGAAGGGTCATAAGAAGGTAGATCTTAACTCTTAGACCTCTGGCATTTAGTCTTAATTCTCCTTACCGAGGTCAGAGTATGCATTGTAGTAAACTTCATGTTTTTAATCTTCTTTGGGAAAAAAAATAGATGGATAGGGAACAGAGCCATCAAGTTAGGTCCAAAATCAGAAGAGACACTCACAAGCACAAAAAGGCACTGAGTCATTCTTGGAACTGAGAGAATGCATCTGCAGAAGAACAAGGCAATTGAGTAAAGGGATGAGGGAGACAGCGAGCAGGCTGATTGGACTGAGGTGAAGGACTGAGGAAGTCAGACATGTTAGTCACTCTAGTTTGTGACTGCCTGGGAGTAGCTTTAAATGTTACACTAGAAATAAGGACTTTATTCTCTAGTATCTGGGGAACCACAAAGGAAGTCTTCTGTGCAATTGCAGTGTATTATTTTAAACTTTTACTTTTTAAAGAGTTTAAAATAATACACTGCAATCATAGCTCAGTCAGTAAAGAATCTGCCTGCAATGCAGGAGACCTGGGTTCAATTCCTAAGTCAGGAAGATCCCCTGGAGAAGGAAATGGCAGTCCATTCTGGTATTCTTGCCTGGAAAATCCCATGGACAGGGGAGCCTGGTGGGCTACAGTCCTTGAGGTCACAAGAGTCGGACATGACTTAGTGACTAAACCACCACTATTTTAAACTTTAATAAAGTGTTTAAAGTTTATTCTAGAAGTTAAAATTTCATTGAAATTTTAAATCATAAATCTAAACCTGTTGAACTTGATCCACTGATGATATTGTTTTATCCTTTTAGGTAATTAGGGTGCCATTTTAGAACATTTATCACTATCCAAAAAACATTTAAAATGAGTGTAACTGGTGTTAATTGCTAGTAAAAATGTAAGATATTGAATAATATTCCTCATCTCTAATAAAGGAAAATAACTAAAATACATTCTCAGTGGTCTTTAAAGGTATCTTATCATATAGATATACCCACCTATGCTCCCACAAAAAGAATACAAACTTCACTTTTCCTTGAGAGCAGTGGATAGAAGCACAGCGATACTGGGCCAGAGTTCCTGGGTACAAATAGTGGCTCTACTACCTGTAGGAGCTTCTGCGTCTCTAAACGGGCGTGGCAGTGGTACCTTCCTCGAGGCTAGGTATCAAGATTGCCAAGTTTGTATAAGTAGCGTTCTTGTAACACTGTCTGATGCTCAGTGTCAGATGTTACTGTGGCACGTGTACTTGGTTTTAAATGTTAGTGTTAAAGAGTTTGATTAAATATGTGTCCTGAAGTCAGAAACCATATGGATAGGCCCATATCTGTTTTATTTTCCCTTGTATCCCAAATGTCTGTCTCAGTGCTTAGCAAATAGTAGATGCTTATTAAATTGTTTTGAAAGACCAAATGAATTTATATACTGCTAGTAATGTTCCTGTAAAGAAAAGCGGCATATGATAAATATTCACCCCTTCAGTTATTCTCTTTAAAAATGTAAGTTTCCTGTTGAATTAAGTGAAGGGGCAGATATTATATAGAAAATATACTGACACCTTTCTTTAGCAACATCACAGGACATTCAGTAGAACCAGTAAGTTCTGCATGCTGCATGTATCTTCATTTGTTTCTCTGGACAAATTTGATACATGGGTTTTTTTTTTTTTTTTTTTTTTTTTTTTAGGGATTGCAGCAAGGCATAATCGAGGGAGAGTTTGCTATTTGTATTAGTTTATATCATGGTTATGAATTATTGCAGCAAATGGGAATGAGATCATTATATTTCTTCCTCTGTGGAATTATGGATGGAACTAAAGGTAAATTATATGGAATTATTTAAAGAAGTGATGACATATATTATTTTGGTTAATGATATGTATATTGAACAGTTTGGATTACTTAAGGGGCTTTATTTTAAAAAACAATGAAATAGTTATATAACAGATTTTTTTCTTCTTATTTTTTTCTTCGTTTTATTTTGCATAAACAATGGACATGTATTTCTGACAGTTCTGGAAACTGGGAAGTCTAAGATTAAAAAACATCCCAAACCATGTTTGACTTTTGATATATTGCTGGAAAAAAAGGAAGCCATTCATTAATACAAATGTAAATGTGGAAATGGAAAAAGTTGCTGGTTTTCATTTTTAAATTTGAAAAACTTGCATTCATTGCTGAATTCTAATTTCTTTTAAATAAATAATGCATTTGATTAGTTTGCTATTAAATTTAATGGGAAAATATTTTCTTAATTTCTGAAGGAATGACTCGGGCGAAAAATGAACTTAGCCGAAATGAGGACTTCATGAAACTTTATGGTCATCTAGAGAGCATGTTTGCACGTACACGTAGTACTTCAACAAATGGTGTTTCTGTTATCCAGAAAGGTCTGTTTTTTCTTTTAAAATTTTATATTGTTTCTTCTTTTTCAAGGTTAATTTTAACATTAAGCTCCATTGATCTACATGTCTATTTATACCTACTTACATTTCTTGAAACAATAGACCTGTTAAACGTAAAAGACTTTATTTTTCAACTTAGGATACATATATATTCAAGCAGTTCATGAAAGTTAAACATATAATGAAGTTAGGAGAAGTTGTTACTAGTAGTGAAAATTCTCAGAACTACCAGATACTGATTGTAGCTTAAATAAATGTGAGCTTTTCCTTCTACTTTGCTGCTTATTCCTATTTGGATTATTTCTCAGAATGAGATTTTCATAACAGTTCAAAGTTTATTTTACAGTAAGGTTTGTGTGCTACCCAGGTGCCAGCTACTGTTTAAATAAATTTTTAAAAATGAGTTTTAACAAATCCATTTTGAAAAGGCTAATTAAAATACATGAATGTAACAGAATATGAAAGAAATACAGAAAAGATTTTTGTTTGTTTTTTTTCCCAGGAGGTAAAGATAAAAAGTTCTGCTATAGTCATCCAAAATTAAAGAAATTAGAAGAAGTTGTAGTTGAACACTTCAAGTCATGGAATGGTAGGTGGTATTTAATATCCTCAAGGCAAGGCAAAGTTATGAAAAAGCTAAAACTCTGATTCGTTCATTTTTGCTAACATTTCTTATGGAGAAGATGAGCTTTTAATTATTCTGGATTATGAACGTAAAACAAAAATTAGAAATTTTGGCAGCATACAGACCAGGGAGATTGTAGATATGTTAACAATAGGGTGTTATATGAAAAAGAAAAGTCAGCCTAAGACAGTATAAGGGAAGCAGATATTAAAAACAATATATAATATTCAGTTCAGTTCAGCTGCTCAGTCATGTCTGACTCTTAGCAGTCCCATGGACTTCAGCACGCCAGGCCTCCATGCCATCCAACCATCTCATCCGCAGTCATCCCCTTCTCCCGCCTTCAATCTTTCCCAGCATCAGGGTCTTTTCAAATAAGTCAGCTCTTCTCATCAGGTGGCCAAAGAATTGGAGTTTCATCTTCAACATCAGTCCTTCCAGTGAATATTCAGGACTGATTTCCTTTAGGATGGACTGGTTGGATCTCCTTGCAGTCCAAGGGACTCTCAAGAGTCTTCTCCATCACCACAGTTCAAAAGCATCAATTCTTCAGTGCTCGGCTATCTTTATGGCCCAACTCTCACATCCATACATGACTACTGGAAAAACCATATCTTTCACTAAATAGACCTTTGTTGGCAAAATAATGTCTCTGCTTTTTAATATGCTGTTTAGGTTGGTCATAACTTTTCTTCCAAGGTGCAAGCGTCTTTTAATTTCGTGGCTACAGTCACCATCTGCAGTGATTTTGGAGCCCGAAAAAATAAAGGCTGTCACTGTTTCTGGAATTTAGCTGAAATAATTTTCCTTACAACTGCACCTGCTTCTTTTTCCTTAGATATCAAATATTAGCTTTATGTGTATTAAGTCATTTAATTCATATGATTGTTATGAAGATTGAATGAGTTAATATATAAAATGCATAGTGGAGTCCCTGGCACACACATGATTAATGTAATATGAATCATGTTTCAGAAGGATTGTCAGAGCCCCCCCCCCCCCCCCCCCCCCCCCCCCCGCCACAGCTTGCAATTATTAACCAGTTGCTATACTCAAGTCTGTATACTTTATATTTACTATTTCATCATCATCTCAATCCATTTTAGATATTAAAAAACTAAAGCTTAAAGGGATTAAATGAAAGAGATTAAATCACCGCCATGGTCACACATTGCCTAGAGACTCAGTGGTCCAGCCTCAAAATCAAGTTGTTATTCGTGCATTCTACTCCTCCCAATCACAGAGACCATGGGAGCAGCTTTGTGGCTGCATGTAGGGTATATTTTGCAGTTTTCTTTGGAGAATTTGAAAGTATCAATAATTCAGGGACAGAGTACCATGACCTGGGTTAAGACAGTGCCTAGAGAAGCAGAAAGGAAAGGGAAATTTTACAGAATGAATGACACTCTGCAGACCTGTGCTTCTGGTTTAGAAGGTAAAGAGGCATAAGAAGCATCACGCATAAATTGAAGGACTGATCAAATGGTAATTTTTATTTGATTGGTTTTGGATTTTATTTTACCATAGCCAGTGAGAGATAAGGAGCCAGGTTTAAGATGACTAGAAAAGGTAGAAGGAAAACTGGCAAAGGTTTAAGATGCTTTAAATTACTTTTTTGAAAGAACTGTCAGTTGTCACTCACTGGTATATAGTTTCAGGTTTGTTTCCTTTTGAATTATCTAAATGCTTTTTTTTAAAGCTGTAGTTAAAATATTTTTTTGTTATACAGCTCGAAAAACGTCTGATAAGAAATGTGATGAGACCAGAGTTATGATCTTCTCTTCATTTCGAGATAGTGTTCAAGAAATTGCGGAAATGCTTTTACCGCATCAGCCAATTATTAGAGTAATGACTTTTGTTGGCCATGCCTCGGGAAAAAGCATGAAGGGTTTTACCCAAAAGGAGCAACTGGAGGTAATTATTTTTTGAGTTAATGAATATAAAAATAAAATTGATTAGCTTTGCACTTATGCCATTTTTTTTTCGTTTTAACTCAATACTGAGTTGGCTATAGCGATAATTTTATAGTAAATATATAAATAAATCTAGGCATATTTGGCATTGCCTTTCTTTGGGATTGGAATGAAAACTGACCTTTTCCAGTCCTGTGGCCACTGCTGAGTTTTCAAAATTTGCTGGCATATTGAGTGCAGCACTTTCACAGCATCATCTTTTAGGATTTGAAATAGCTCACCTGGTATTCCTTCACCTCCACTAGCTTTGTTCATAGTGATGCTTCCTAAGGCCCACTTGACTTCACATGCCAGAATGTGTGGCTCTAGGTGAGTGATCATATCATCGTGGTTATCTGGGTCGTGAAGATCTTTTTTGTACAGTTCTTCTGTGTATTCTTGCCACCTCTTCTTAATATCATCTGCTTCTGTTAGGTCCATACCATTTCTGTCCTTTATTGTGCCCATCTTTGCATGAAATATTCCCTTGGTATCTCTCATTTTCTTGAAGAGATCTCTAGTCTTTCCCATTCTGTTGTTTTCCTCTTTCTTTGCATTAATCACTGAGGAAGGCTTTCTTATCTCTCCTTGCTGTTCTTTGGAACTCTGCATTCAAATGGGTACATCTTTCCTTTTCTCCTGTTTTTCGCTTCTCTTCTTTTCACAGCCAACCACTTTGCCTTTTTGCATTTCTTTTCCTCGGGGATGGTCTTGATCCCTGCCTTCTGTAAAATATCATGAACCTCTGTCCATAGTTCTTCAGGCACTCTATCAGATCTAACCCCTTGAATCTATTTGTCACTTTCACTGTATAATCATAAGGAATTTGATTTAGGTCATACCTGAATGGTCTAGTGGTTTTCCCTATTTTCTTCAATTTATGTCTGAGTTTGGCAATAAGGAGTTCATGATCTGAGCCACAGTCTTCTTCCGGTCTTGTTTTTGCTGACTGTATAGAGCTTCTCCACCTTTGGCTGCAAAGAATATAATCAGTCTGATTTTGGTGTTGACCATCTGGTGATGTCCATGTGTAGAGTCTTCTCATGTGTTGTTGAAAGTGGATGTTTGCTACAACCAGTGCATTCTCTTGGCAAAACTTTATTAGCCTTTGCCCTGCTTCATTCTGTACTCCAAGGCCAAATTTGCCTGTTACTCCAGGTGTTTTTTGACTTCCTACTTTTGCATTCCAGTCCCCTATATTGAAAAGGACATCTTACACACTAGCAAAGTAATGCTCAAAGTTCTCCAAGCCAGGCTTCAACAGTATGTGAACCGTGAACTTCAGATGTTCAAGCTGGATTTAGAAAAGGCAGAGGAACCAGAGGTCAAATAGCCAACATACATTGGATTATCAAAAAAGCAAGAGAGTTCCAGAAAGTCATCTACTTCTGCGTTATTGACTATACCTAAGCCTTTGACTGTGCGGATCACTGAAAACTGTGGAAAATTCTTAAAGAGATGGGAATACCAGACCACCTGACCTATCTCCTGAGAAATCTGTATGCAGGTCAGGAAGCAACAATTAGAACTGGCCAAAAAAAAAAAGAACTGGCCATGGAACAAAAGATTGGTTCCAAATAAGAAAGGAGTACATCAAGGGTGTATATTGTCACCCTGCTTATTTAACTTATATGCCGAGTACATCATGAGAAACGCTAACCTCAGATATGCATATGACACCACCCTTATGGCAGAAATCAAAGAAGAACTAAGGAGCCTCTTGATCTTGATGAACGTGAAAGAGGAGAGTGAAAAAGTTGGCTTGCAGCTCAACATTCAGAAAACTAAGATCATGGCGCCTGGTTCCATCACTTCATGGCAAATAGATAGGGAAATAGTGGAAGCAATGACAGACTTTATTTTTTTCGGCTCGAAAAATCACTGCAGATGGTGACTGCAACCATGAAATTAGATGATGCTTGTTCCTTGGACGAAAAGTTATGACCAACTTAGACAGCATATTAAAAAGCAGAGACATTACTTTGCCAACAAAGGTCCATCTAGTCAAAGCCAAGGTTTTTCCAGTAGTCATGTATGGATGTGAGATTTGGACTATAAAGAAAGCCGAGCACTAGAGAATTGATGCTGTTGAACTGTGGTGACAGAGAAGACTCTTGAGAGTCCCTTGGACTGCAAGGAGATCCAACCAGTCCATCCTAAAGGAAATCAGTCCTGAATGTTCATTGGAAGGACTGATGTTGAAGCTGAAACTCCAATACTTTGGTCACCTGATGTGAAGAACTGACTCACTGGAAAAAACCTGATGCTGGGAAAGATGAAGTAGGGAAGAGAAGGGGACGACAGAGAATGAGATGGTTGGATGGCATCACCGACTCGATGGACGTGAGTTTGAGTAAACTCTGGGAGTTCGTGATGGGACAGGGAGACCTGGCATGCTGCAGTCTATGGGGTTGCAAAGAGTCAGACCCGACAGATCGACTGAACTGAGGCATATTTTGAAAGACCAAAAAAAAGTGTTTTTTGTGATTTTGAAGTTTTTTAAGCACATTTGAGAAGAAAGGCCCTGGAATCACACTATATAGATTGGAGTCCTCACTTTTCCACTGATAAATACTTTTACTTCCTGTGCCTCAGTTTTCATTATCTGTAAACACACTCTATAGAGCTACTGTAAACATTAAATGAAATTGTTCAACAGAACCTTCAATGAATGTTTACTATTTATTTAAGTCATTTTAGTTATTTATTCCAAACAAATAATGATTGTTATCACTTTTTTCTTTTATTTAAAAATCTTCAAAATGTGGTCAGAGAAAAGAAACCATGGTGATATTTAAGGTGTATGTGCTGAATATTGGTCATAAGTTTTCTGAGTGCTCTGCTATGTTTTTGGGGAAATTTTAGACTATTACTTTTTTTTAAAACTGTGTACAGGGTTTTGCAGATTAGCTATAAGTCTGCACGTGAGCAGTCTCTGACAATTAGGTATGTCTTTAATAGCTAATTCATTTTCTAAGATTCCTTCTTGATTCTGTTAACATGAAAAGATGAGGACTCCTACTGTTTACATCCTTCTTATACCAGTCTCCACTCCCCTCAAAAAAGTCTGTTTAAGTAAACATGTGGTGAAGTCACAGAGGAAGTGGGGGGCCAGATTCTTTAGGATCTTGTAGGTCATTTCTGTTTTAATGACTGGCTTTTTCTCTGAGTGAGACGAGCAGAAGCCTTTAGAGAATTTAGAGCAGAGGAGGGTCATGGCCTGGCTGATATTTTAAAAGAATCACACTGGCTGCTGTCTTAAGAATAAACTGTAGAGGCTAGGGGTGGAAATAGGAAGACCAGCTGGAAGACTTATTACAGTAATCCTCAAGCTAAGATAATGATGGCTTGGGCTATGTGGAAGCAGGGAAGTTTGTGAGAAATGATTCGATTATGGATATATTTTGAACGTCAAGTTGACAGGACTTACTAACAAATTAGAGTGGGATCTGAGATAAAGGAGTTGACTTTGACTTTTTCATTAACTCATTGTCATGCTAGTGTAGTTCCCGTAACTTGATCAGGGAATCCTGGTGAAGAGAAGAAAAAATAATTTTCGCTCTACCCTTCTGAGTTCTTAGGTGTGACCTCTGTAATAAAAGACAGATTTACAAGAGAAAAACAAACTGAAGCTTATTAACAAATGTATACTGGGCTTCCCTGGTGGCTCAGTGGTAAAGAATCCACCTGCCAATACAAAAGATTCAGTCTTGGGTTCAGTCCCTGGTCTGGGAAAACCCCACATGCCATGGTGCAGCTAAGCCCAGGAGTCACAGCTTTTGAGTCTGTGCTCTAGAGTCAGAGAGTCCTAACTACTGAAGCCCGTGCACCCTAGAGCTTGTTCTCCCCAACAAGAGAAGCTCCCACAATGAGAAACCCAAGTTCTGCAACTGGAGGGTAGCCCCTGCTCACCTCATCTAGAGAAAAGCCTGAGCACAGCCGAAAAGCAATATAAATAAAAAACAAACAAACATGTATACTTCATGTATGCGTGGGAAAATACCGAGGGAAAAATGAGTAACTCCCTTAAGTGGCTTAGAATTCATATTTAAATAGCATCTTATGGGGAAAGAGGAGTGGCATGCACAAAGGAGAGTAAATAATTTTCAGGGAAGATGAATAGGGATTTAAAAGATGGGAAGTATGAGTGATGGATTGTGATGAAGTTTATTTGGATATGGTGTGGACTTTCAGTCTCTTGCTGAGTTAGTTTTCCCTGGTTGATGAAACTCCTGGGGAAGGGATTTATGACAGTTGAGTTCCTTCTGGAGGATCTGGTTTTAGGCAGATAAGTGGCCAGAGAAACGGCACTTGCTTTTGTTTTGAGTGCCTTTAACTCAAAGTAATCAGTATACCAAAAGCAGCATAGGCTGGGACAGCATGATCTAAACTCCTACAGTCATATTTGGGTTGCCATATTCTGCTACCCTTCACTGGAATAGCGGTGTAAAAAGCAAAATATAAATTGTATTTTTAACTAAAAATTCTGTTGCCGAAGTATAGTTGATTTATACAATGTTGTATGAATTACTGCTGTATAGCAAGGTGATTCAGTTACACATATGCGTGCGTTATTTTTGTAAATATTGTTTTCCATTGTGGCTTATCACAGGATATTGAATATAGTTCTGGGCTATGCAGTGGGAACTTGTTTGTCCATTCTACATACAGAAATTTTTATCTGATAACCCCAACGCCCAACTTGATCCCTCCTCCAGCCCCCTCCCCCTTGACAGCCACCAGGCTATTCTCTATGGCTGTGATTCTGTTTCTATTTAAAAATATGAATTCTAGAAGTAATAAAACATAGTTTAATTATTAAACTTACTATTATTCTAAAATTGACTGACAATAAATTTAGGTCTAGGATATGATAAATAGCAGTAAGTGCTCTAGGGCCATTTACATGCTCTACCCCCTTTTTAGTGATGTTAAAAATAATATCTGTGCTTTCTCACTCATGTGTAAATGTTTAGAAGAACCTTTTGGAATCATAACCATCATTAAAGGAGTTGGGACTGTGCTTTGCACTGTACCATTGTCTCTCTTGGTTTATATTGCCATTTTGCCGCTTCTTTTCCTATTTGGTAGTATTTTGGGTGCCGATTTTTAATCTGATTGCAGGGGCAAATGGGAAAAGTATGCTTTGATCTGCAATTCTCTTCTAGTTGCATCTAATTATTTTTAAATTTTAATTTTAGGTAGTGAAACAATTTCGTAGTGGTGGTTACAATACATTGGTGTCTACTTGCGTTGGTGAAGAAGGTTTGGATATTGGAGAAGTTGACCTCATAATATGTTTTGATGCCCAGAAGAGCCCAATTCGTCTTATACAGAGAATGGGTAGAACTGGCCGCAAACGTCAGGGCAGGATTGTTGTTATCCTTGCTGAAGGACGAGAGGAACGTGTAAGTAGACTTGTGGAAGCGTAATCTGACAGTCGAAATTTGAGAAACGGAGTCTAAAGACAGGAATCAGTCTGTTCACATTCAAAGTCCAAATAATCTGTAGGTAATTGTGATTGATTTTTGTTTCTCTTTGTGTTAGATACTACCTATTCTTTTTTTGACTAGACTCAGCTTTATAATTTTTATCCATATAAAGAACCATATCTTTGTACTTTAGTATTAATTTAGCAACACATAGATACAAAAATCAAGTATTACCTTGTCTGACTATTTCCCTGTGCTTCTAAGGCTTATTTTTTTGTGTTGTTGTTTTATTAATAACTACAATGAAGTAAGAATATTTTTTACATTTTAAAGAGTTGCCTAAATCAGTCAAGTTACCCACCAACCAACCAAGAATATGCACTGGGGGTAATATGTTAGCCAGCAAAGCCTAAAATATTTACTTTCTGACCCTTTGTGGAAATTTACTAATGTCTATTCTAAGTGAAAAGGCATTGAGTGATATTCATAAATCTTGGGTGACAGGCCTTTCTAAATATGATGTTGTACATAATATTATTCTGTATATGTACACTAAAGTGTTACCTAACTTTTATAACTGAGTGGGACTATTTCTGTGGCCAAGTAAATATTTTTTAAATAATTTTACATTAAGGAATTTTCACTAATGATGATAGTTTTAAACAGTTGATTTGAAGCGTTTCAGAAACCCTATGAAAATCATCCTGAAAAATGAATTTCTTTTTCCACCAATACTTTTTATGTGATTGTAGCATATTCTTATGTAACATCCAATTTATCTCCAAAATAATTCTAATAAATGATATGTCTGGCACCTTTTAAAAGTCTGTGTATTGATCACCAGCCCAGGTTGGGTGCATGAGACAAGTGCTCGGGCCTGGTGGACTGGGAAGACCCAGAGGGATCGGGTGGAGAGGGAGGTGGGAGGGGGGACTGGGATGGGGAATACATGTAAATCCATGGCTAATTCATTTCAATGTATGACAAAAACTACTGTAATGATGTAAAGTAATTAGCCTCCAACTAATAAAAATAAATGGGAAAAAAGAAAAAAATAAATAAATAAATAAAAGTCTGTGTATTGTCACTGAGTGGAATTGGGTCCTAACTAATGGTGTTACCTTAGGCAACTCACTTAACCTCTGTTTAAGTGTTAGTTTTCTTATCTGTTAAATAGTCATAATGGACCACATTTCATGAGTACCTACTTTGTGCTGGACACTGTTGAAAATGTTTCAAATGCATTGTTTTACTTAAATCATGTTAATAACATTATCAGGGCAGTACTAGGGATTTTCTTGTTGTATACAGTAAAGAAAATTGACACAGAGAGAGATGAAGTAACAAGCTGAAATTAAAAAATAGTATTTTTTTAAAAACAGTTTATACTTATATATAAATATTAACCTTATTCAAAAATAGCAAGATACTAAATAAAAGACAGACTTTCTTGGTACAATATAGTTACTAAGGTAAGCTTTTATAATAATAATCTTGAAATGATTTTCATTAAGACTTAAATAGACTTTAAAACAACATATATTCTGTTCCTCAAGTATTTAAGTGGATCAGAGTTTAATTTGCTGTTTAGAATACACAGGGTGATATAATAACTGCTTGCTATGGCTAGGTGATTATTATAGAAATAAAATGATTTTGCATTTATTTTTTTTTCAGACTTATAATCAGAGTCAGTGCAACAAAAGAAGTATTTATAAAGCTATTTCAGGTAATAGGCAGGTCCTCCATTTTTACCAAGGAAGTCCACGAATGGTTCCTGATGGAGTCAACCCACAATTACATAAGATGTTCATCACACATGGTGTCTATGAACCAGAGAAGCCTTCTCGAAACTTGCAGCGAAAGCCATCTATCTTTTCATATAGGAACGGTAAATACAGTTTTTTGCATTTGAGACACGCAATTGTTTTTCTGTTATTTGTTAGCAGATCGTGTATTGATCTATTTCTTCTATGAGAAAATCAACGCACATTCTAGTATGTTCACTTGGAGAAGGATAGAAGAGAGATGATTAATGTGGCAAAGGGAACGAGGTACTGGCAGTACAGGATGAAAGAAGCTCAGTGTTGGGAAAATCTAAAAATATAGGCCCAGAGAATACTCTTTACAACATGTAGAAAAGAGGAAAATAGTTTTATTATTGAATAAGCATTAAGCCATATTACAATGTGTGTTGTAAGCAATCCACTAAGTTAAGAGAAAGAAGGAAATTCTACCCTATTCATTTCAGCAGTATTAATCCTTTACATCATGTTCTTAAGATTATAACAGTAACTTGTCTTCTTATAAGAGGACGGCACCATTTGCTTTATGTTCTTTCATTGTTGTTGTTGTTGTAGTTGCTAAGTCATGTCTGACTCTTTTGCGACCCCATGGACTATAGCCCCACCAGGCTCCTCTGGGATTTCCAGGGCAAGAATGCTGGAGTATGTTGCCTTTTCCTTCTCCAGGAGGGTCTTCCTGACCTAGGGGTCGAACCTGTGTCTCCTGCATTGGCAAGCGGATTCTTGGCTCAGCGCCACCTAGGAAGCCCATGCTTCAAGCTCACCCAGTAACTGCGGTGGCCACTTGCGTTTGCTGGTTGCCTTGATCCTCATCCTCCCTGGTGCCTCAAACAGTAAGGAATCTGCCTGCAATGGAGGAGATCTGGGTTCAGTCCCTGGATTGGGAAGATCTCCTGGAGAAGGGAATGACTACCCACTCCAGTGTTTTTGCCTGGACAATTCCATGGGCAGAGGAGTCTGGCAAGGTACAGTCTATGGGGTCTCAAACAGTTGAACATAACTGAGCACCTAACACTTATCCAAAGAAATAGTAAAACTTCTGTCTCTATGACAAACAGATAGGGAGAGGTCAGAGAAAGATGCCAAGGCTAAACTCCCCAGGTGTCTGGGAGATAGGGACACTGTCTTCCTCGATGTTTACATTTCAAAGAGATGTTTCCTAGGTCCTTAAGAAAATCATTTCTGGTTGAAAAGCTGGCTAGAGACTTGCTTTACCTTTACAAAGATTTGCATGCATATCAGAGAGTTAAATAAAGAATTTAGGAATATTAATAAGTATCTGTGGAATTGCTTTCAGAGAAGCAGGGGGAATTTCTGCAAAGGAGAATTTTTTTAATTTTTTTTATTTACTGTTACACCAGATAGTGGTGTAACCAGAAGTTAGACTAAGCCGGTGATACTGAGCCAGTGAGAAATAAATATTGATCCTTTGGTGCCAGGGAGCATCGTAAGGAGAGGACTAGCTTAAGAATTGCAGAGACTTTGGTGATATCAAGAAAATATCTTGAAATATTAAAGAATCATAAAATATATTCTAAACTTTGGAAGAAACCTCAGGGATCATCTGGTCTAGTTACTTACCAAGGTAGGGATGTTTTCTGTACCATGTTTGTTTGTTTTTTTTTCTATGTACAGTAGATAAAAGTTTTATTAGACTGCAGATTGTTGTTTCATGGAGATTAAGATAAACATGTTTCTCACAAGACATTTTGCCATGAAGTGACGTGAAGTCGCTCAGTCATGTCCAACTCTTTGCGATCCCATGGACAGTAGCCTACTAGGCTCCTCAGTCCATGGGATTTTCCAGTCAAGAGTACTGGAGTGGGTTGCCATTTCCTTCTCCATGTACCATGCTTGTTAAATGTGTGTGTGTGTGTGAGTATTCAATCTCTAGGTTGTGTCTGACTCTTAAGACCCCGTGGACTGTAGCCCACCAAACTCCTCTGTCCATGGGATTTCCCAGACAAGAATAGTGGAATGGGTTGCTTTTTCCCTCTTCATGTCAAATGTATATCAAGCCTCAACTTGAACATCTCTATTAACGGAAATTGTATTCTTTTATGAAAGTTCATTGCATGGTTGACAGTCCATATAAAAGAAGTTCTTTTGTTGAAAAAAAAATCTGTCTTTTATCTTTTCTTTCGTTGATTAAGTTTTGGCTTTGTCAACTGAAAAAAATGCATAACGTAAAAGTTGAGAATTATGTTTTATTCAGGGCACTACTGACGACTATAGCACAGGAAGGAAGCCTCTCAGAGAGCTTTGAGGGACTGTTCCAAAGAGGCAAGTAGGGAGCCAAGATATATAGGAGTTTTTGCTGAAAAAAAAACCCAGTCACTGAATATTAAAAGATTACTGCTAATCCCAGAAAACAAGACCTCTCAAGTTTATGATTTTAGTGCTTTTTTATGTATGGGAAGATGCAAGAGTTTCAGCTCACTGAAATTATTCCTTTGACATACATCTTAACTCCCTCGGGCAAGTATTCTGTTTTGTTCCGCTCTGACCCCCTCAGAGGCAGCTGCAGTGGCTGATGTCTGATCTCCCCAGCAACACCCTTTATTTAGTGAAATGGCAGGTGACTTTCTTTGCCCACAGCTTCTAGACACAAAAATGGATTTGATCTTTGAGTTACCTAGGAGGTAGTTTTTTTATACATTTGAAGACAGTACCTCTTAAATTTGTTCAACTGACTGTTCCACTGGTTTTCATTACTATGAAGGTTCTGAATTCTTCCCCCTCCTGGGCACCTTCTTTGTACTTGGTTAAGTTTGTTAATGTTCTTTCCCTTAATTCAGAGCCGTTAATCAGTGTTTTGTGGATGTGGCTATTAAACCTAATGCAAATTCACTTAATAGAAATATACCTATCATTTTAAACACTTTGCCAAAATTATGGTTAAAAATGAAAAGATAGTATATATTTGAATTCTCTTGAATTTATTAAACTAATAGTATCATCAAAACTTGGTTAGATTGGTATACATTTTCTTAATGATCATTTAATTTTTATATATGTTAATTAACCATATGTTTAGTAATTGTTTCTAGGAATGTTACTAGTTCGGTTCAGTCGCTCAGTCGTGTCTGACTCTTTGTGACCCCATGGACTGCAGCACACCAAGCCTCCCTGTCCATCACCAACTCCTGAAGTTTACTCAAATGCATGTCCATTGAGTCAATGATGCCATCCATCCATCTCATCCTCTTTCGTCCCCTTTTCCTCCTGCCTTCCATCTTCCCCAGCATCAGGGACTTTTCAAAAGAGTCAATTCTTTGCATCAGGTGGCCAAAGTATTGGAGTTTCAGCTTCAGCATCAGTCCTTCCAATGAATATTCAGGACTGATTTTCTTTAGGATGGACTGGTTGGATTTCCTTGCTGTCCAAGGGACTCTCAAGAGTCTTCTCCAACACCACAGTTCAAAAGCATCAATTCTTCAGTGCTCGGCTTTCTTTATATTCCAACTCTCACATCCATACATGACCACTGGGAAAACCATATCTTTGACTAGACGGACCTTGGTTGGCAAAGTAACGTCTCTGCTTTTTAATATGTTGTCTAGGTCGGTCATAACTTTCTTTCCAAGGAGCAAGCATCTTTTAATTTCATGGCTGCAGTCACCATCTGCAGTGATTTTGGAGCCCAAAAGATAAAGTCTGACAGTTTCCACTGTCCCCCCATCTATTTGCCATGAAGTGATGAGATCAGATGCCATGATGTGAGTTTTCTGAATGTTGAGGTTTAAGCCAATTTTTTCACTCTCCTCTTTCACTTTCATTAATAGGCTTTTTAGTTCTTCTTTGCTTTCAGCTTTAAGGGTAGTGTCATCTGCCTATCTAAGGTTACTGAAATTTCTCCCGACAATCTTGATTCCAGCTTGTGCTTCTTCCAGCCCAGCGTTTTTCATGATGTACTCTGCATATAACTTAAATAAGCAGGGTGACAATATATAGCCTTGAGGTACTCCTTTCCCGATTTGGAACCGGTGTGTTGTTCCATGTCCAGTTCTAACTGTTGCTTCCTGACCTGCATACAGATTTCTCAGTCAGGTGGTCTGGTATTCCCATCTCTTGAAGAATTTTCCACAGTTTGTTGTGATCCACACAGTCAAAGGCTTTGGGACAGTCAATAAAGCAGATGTTTTTCTGGAACTCTCTTGCTTTTTCAACAATCCAACGGATGTTGGTAATTTGATACTTGGTTCCTCTGCCTTTTCTAAATCCAGCTTGAACATCTCGAAGTTCACGGTTCATGTACTGTTGAAGCCTGGCTTGGACAATTTTGAGCATTACTTTACTAGTGCAATTGTGTGGTAGTTTGAGCATTCTTTGGCATTGCCTTTCTTTAGGATTGGAATGAAAACTGACCTTTTCCAGTCCTGTGCCCACTGCTGAGTTTTCAAAATTTGCTGGCATATTGAGGGCAGCACTTTCACAGCATCATCTTTTAGGATTTGAAATAGCTCAACTGGAATTCCATCACCGCCACTAGCTTTGTTCGTAGTGATGCTTCCTAAGGACCGCTTGACTTTGCATTCCAGCATGTCTGGCTCTAGATTGGTGATCACAGCATCATGATTATCTGAATCATGAAGATCTTTTTTGTGTAGTTCTTCTGTGTATTCTTGCCACCTCTTCTTAATATCTTCTGTTTCTTTTAGGTCCATACCATTTCTGTCCTTTATTGAGCCCATCTTTGTATGAAGTGTTCCCTTGGTATCTCTAATTTTCTTGAAAAGATCTCTAGACTTTCCCATACTATTGTTTTCCTCTCTTTCTTTTCATTGATCTCTGAGGAAGGCTTTCTTACATTACTAGTTCATGTACATTTTTCTGTGCTTTTCTTCTTCCATTTTCTCTGATTTTTCAAATGTCAGTGATTCATCTTGCTAATAAGATAGTGTGTATAAATGTCATCTTTTATATATTTGTATATGATTCATTTAGGCTAGAGGTCTGAATATATTTAATGTGACTAGGAGAAGGAAATACGTTTCTGTTTCAAGTCTTAGTGCCTCAGATTGCTAGATCTGAAGAAGACCTGAGAGATCACCTAATTCAAACCTCCTAATTTGCAAAAGCTAAGACAGAAGTTTCCTGATTTTGAATTCAGTATCTTTCTGATTTCTTTTTCTGCCCTCATCTTTATTGGGACCAGAGTTACAGCTTAATATTTTTTAATCCTTTCCATGTTGGTGATTATTTTCCTTTATAAAGATTATGGAAATAATAAAGGATTAACTTATTATACATTTTTTTAAAAGTATATTATCATGTCTTTTTTAAAAGCAGTAGGTCTTTTTGTCCTTTTTAAACTGTCGTCCCCACATGTCACCCCACATTTAAGACTTTATCTAAAACTCTTTTTAGTCTTGTCATCTCTCCCACATCCATACCTGTTTCAGATAACTTTCTAATAATGTTAGGATAGAATCATGATGCTAGTTTTCATTTGTAAGTGATCTGTTTCCTTCCAGGTCTTAGACAACAAAATGAAGAGAGTCCAAAATAATATAAGACTGAGAGCTACCTGGTGATGTTTTGTTGATGAAGGTTAGGTGTAGTTGGAATGGTGCCCTAGTACTTTCAAAAAGGTGAGAGAAGTTTAGGAGATATGTAGAAACAGGAAGTAATAACCAAAGTGTTTATATGAAGAAATCGAATTTTAAGGACTCAAATCAGTGGTTTAGCAGAAACAAGTAGTCATAAACAGAGAGTTTGAGTTGATGTTTTTTACTTTGTGTTTGTCGAGCAGATTTTTTTAAACCTGTTTTCAATTATTTTTTAAACTTCTAGGAATAAAGCAGAGTAATTCAAAGAATGATTGGTTCTTATCAGAAGAAGAATTTAAATTATGGAACAGACGATATAGGTTAAGAGACACTGATGAAATTCAGGAAATAAGATTGCCTCAAGTTCAGTTTCTGTCTTTACACAATGAAGAGAACAGACTAGTAAGTTAAATGTGTTTTCAATGTTGTTTATAGTGATTATGCAATACCTTTGGGAGTAAAGAGAATGAATATTCATGATCAGAAGATCAATTTATATAAAAATTAAGAATGTAAGCAGTTTATAAAAGAATATTAAAGAATAGTCTGTCTTGATAAAACTACTGATTTTCTTGTATATATATTTTTACATGACTATATTTACATAAATTCTGACTTTATTACTTTCTTCATATGAACATTTCTGTATAGGTGTAATTTTTATGATTGTTATATTACTCTGTAATATACTGTACTTTAACTATTTCTCTGTTGTGTTTTAGAATTATTTTCAGTATATTACTAATTACACTATTATGAATGTCTTTGTACATACTGGTTTTTAATTTTTGTTTTGAAATTACAGTAAAACTTTAAATTGGATATTAGATTTATTTTATTATAAACAAATTATTGATGAGCTTGAGGAAGGTCAAATGAATTGATCAAAGGTTACATACGTACCAGAGAAATCGAAAAACAACTTCAAGGAAGATACCTTTGAGAAGATTTATGGGGCTTGAAATACTTGGCTTTGAGAATCTATATTTTGTTCACTAATTATTTATTCCTCACTGAAGTGAGGAATGGCAGCAGGCATGATGAATTGGGATTGGCATCACTGCGAGATTATAAATACCTCTTTATGAGCTTCCCTGGTGGCTCAGATGGTAAAAGTGTATGATTGCAAAGTGGGAGACCTGGGTTTGATCCCTGGGTCGGGAAGATCCCCTGGAAAAGGAATGGCAACCCACTCCAGTAACTCTTGCCTGGAAAATTCCACGGATGGAGGAGCCCTGTGGGCTACATTCCATGGGGTCAGGGATCACAAAGAATCAAACATGACTGAGTGACTTCAGTTTCAGTTTATTAGATAATAGAACATAATCTAGCAAAAACTCTTAACATGGAATTATATAAACCAGAATATGGCCAAGTAGTAACTCATCTAGCATTTATTTATGTGTTTTATTTTTAATGACATAGTTTTCTTTCTAATTTTATAAGCAATATATGTGACAGTTATTTTTAAAATGTATTTAAAAGGACATCTTTGTACTTCAAAAGTTATTTTATTTTTCACCTGAGATTTTAGTTGAAAATACCTAAGTGAATTAAAATTATTTATGCTATGCCAATTATCTGTATATTAAGTATTTTTTAAATCAGTGTGTGAAATCTGAGTATGTGTGTTTTTTGTTATGTTAAATTATTGTTAATCAAGACTGAAGAACCAACCACTGGAATTCATCAGCTCTCTCTCTCTGAATGGAGACTGTGGCAGGATCATCCTTTGCCTACATATCAAGTTGACCATTCAGATCGATGTCAGCATTTCATAAATATTATGCAAATGATAGAAGCAATGAGACATGAAGAGGTAGGAGCCTACTGTAACTTTCTCTTGCTGGTATGATAGTAAAACTAGAATATTTAATCTTTAGTCTTCTTAATTTGAAGTTGTTATTATAAGAAACAAGTACTTATAAATAATAATAGCTAGACTATTTTGTTTTTCTATGTAGCTTCTTGTGGTCTCAATGGACTAGTTTTCTGTCTTAGGAGAAGTAGGCCTAATTAGAAGAATGCCATCTGTGAATATTGATAGACGAGAGTGAAATTTTAATGTATTTAATGGCTAAAGGGGATCAAGACCATCCCCAAGAAAAAGAAATGCAAAAAAGGCAAAATGGTTGTCTGAGGATGCCTTACAAACAGCTATGAAAAGAAGAGAAGCAAAAGGCAAAGGGGAAAAGAAAAGATATACCCATTTGAATGCAGAGTTCCAAAGAATAGCGAGGAGAGATAAGAGCCTTCCACAGCAATCAGTGCAAAGAAGTAGAGGAAAACAATAGCAAGGGAAAGAGTAGAGATCTCTTCAAGAAAATTAGAGATACCAAGGGAACATTTCATGCAAAGATGGGCTCAATAAAGGACAGAAATGGTATGGACCTAACAGAAGCNACAACACACCGGTTCCAAATTGGGAAAGGAGTACTTCAAGGCCGTATATTGTCACCCTGCTTATTTAACTTATATGCAGAGTACATCATGAGAAATGCTGGCTGGATGAAGCCCAGGTTAGAATTAAGAATGCTGGGAGAAATTTCAATAACCTTAGATATGCAGATGACACCACCCTTAAGGCAGAAAAGCGAAGAACAAAGAGCTTCTTGATGAAAGTGAAGGAGGAGAGTAGAAAAGTTGGCTTAAACTTCAGCATTCAGAAAACTCAGATCATGGCGTCTGATCTCATCACTTCATGGCAAATAGATGGGGAAACAATGGAAACAGTGTCAGACTTTATCTTTTGTGCTCCAAAATCACTGCAGATGGTGACTGCAGCCATGAAATTAAAAGACGCTTACTCCTTCCAAGAAAAGTTGTGCCTCTGCATATTAAAATGCAGAGACATTACTTTGCCAACAAAGGTCTGTCTTGTCAAAGCTATGGTTTTCCCAGTGGTCATGTATGGATGTGAGATTTGGACTATAAGGAAAGCTGAGCACTGGAGAACTGATGGTTTTGAACTGTGGTGTTGGGGAAGACTCTTGAGAGTCCCTTGGACTGCAAGGAGATCCAACCAGTCCATCCTAAAGAAAATCAGTCCTGAATATTCATTGGAAGGACTGATGCTGAAGCTGAAACTCCAATCCTTTAGCCACCTGATGTGAAGAACTGACTTATTTGAAAAGACCCTGATGCTGAGAAAGAATGAGGGCAGGAGGAGAAGGGGATGACCAAGGATGAGATGGTTGGATGGCATCGCCGACTCAATGGAGATGAGTTTGAGTAAACTTTCAAGAGTTAGTGATGGATAAGGACACCTGGTGTGCTGCAGTCCATGGAGTTGCAAAGAGTCGGACATGACTGAGCAAGTGAACTGAACTGAATGGCTAAAAAAATGTTTTTTGGTTGTGCTGCATAGCTTGTAGGATCTTAGTTCCCAGACCAGGGATTGAAAAGTACTGGCAGTGAAAGCACCAAGTCCTAAACACTAGATCTTCAGGGAATTCTCATTTAATGATTTATATAAATGTTTGTAAAGCAAATTTAGTATTCTTGTTAGATCTGTTGAAATTTCTCTATCATACAGGTCATTTGGTATGTTTCCTTTATCCTGGTGTTAGTTTAGAGAATTAGTGATTCCTTGAGTAACATCCTGATTCTTATTCCCTGAGAGAGTCAGAATGGTGAACCTATTGTGAGTGTGAAATCCAAAATGCCTGCGTTAGAATCTTACTTTTTGGATCTAAGTTACTTAACCTCTTTGTGCCTCAGTTTCACCTATAAATTTGCAATAATGATTCTTTCTTCATAATGTTGTTGTGAGGATTAAGTGGCTTAATATATGTAAAGCAATTAGAATAATACCTGGCACCTAGTAATTACGTGATAGATTGTAGCTGCTAATTTTATTAGCTGTTGTTCATGAACACATGTAAATAAAGTAATATTTGTGGATCCCTACAAGTGAAAAAAAGTGTATAATCCTATTTTATGTATTAATTAAATCTGTACTTTCTACAAATATTTGTCCTGGGCTGTGCCAGCAAAGGCTGTGCATCAAAGTAACACATTTATTTAGTGCCTTCTATATGACATGGTCTGTTCTAGGCCCCATGGCTACACTGGTTAAGATTAAATATTCTGTAGGGAGCATATATCCTATTAGAGTGACAGACATTCTAACATTAATATTTATTGTATTTATTATACAAAAAGTGGAGAGTTAACTGCTTAAGTCCCTGAATAGTAGAGGAATCCTGATTAAAGTGGCATTTAGTGGCACGAGGGAAGGGATGGTGGGGACTGTAGTTTTAGATTTAGATATAAGACTTGGAAATTCACGAGAAGAGTTCTTGAGAAATTTGTTAAAAATAGCATATTCTAGCTTACAGCCTAGAAGACTGTAGGTACCATTATTTCAAATGTTCTAAAATCTGTTCTTAGTTTATCTTCAAGAGAGTAAATTTCACATAAGTATGTGTTTCTCATTTATATATGTTAATTTCTTAAATATCTTTTTAAAGAAGTTAGAATCATTGTTCAGTTAAATGTTAGGAAAAAAGTATTTATAATAATATTCTATATATTAATTAAATTTATACTTTCTACAAATGTTTATCATGGGTCTCTTATGTACTAGGTACTGGGAATACAAAACTATTAACTGATAAAAGATAATTTGTGATAATTTCACAGAAATGTCATTTCTAATTTTGTTTGACTTAGAGTAATTTTTAAGGTAAAATCATTTGAATAATGCAATATTGTTTGGAAAATATTTTAACAGAGTAAGGCTCGTCTCTTAGAATTTTTATTTGTTTTATATTGCTTTCTTGTGACTTTTTCATTTTCCTTCTTTATAGGGAGAATGCAGCTATGAATTGGAAATTAAATCTTACTTACAAATGGAAGATGTTAGCTCAGCATCTAGTGCTCCCAGAAATGAATATAATCCTTTTGCCAGTGGCACCTTTACAAGTAACAAGAAGTCTTCATTTGCAAAGAATATAAATCAAGGGAAATCAGTCTCAATGACAGAATCTGATGAAGAATGTGCTGAAATTTTTAAACAAATTCCTGTCAAATCTACCAAAATTCCTTCTTTAAAAAAAAAGGCTTCTGAAATCCTGAAAAAAGATCAGCCTAAAAAAGAAAATAAGGATGTTGTCGTGGAGCCTTTAGATACTGATGGCAATTCTACCGCTGAACATATTCTTCAGGTAGACCTACGAAATGGTAAAAGAGCATCAGATACAGGTGAAGTCACTGCTACATGTGCTGTCAATGAAAATGGAGGTAATCCGTCATGTGGATTATTAACAGATTGTCAGTTTACAAATAAATCTACTAGTTCATTTACTGGAAATTTTTTTGATTCTGGTTATAACAGTTTCAGTGATGAGAAATCTTTTTCATCTAGCTTATTTCTTTCATTTGAGGATGAGCTTGATATAGCAAAAACAGGTGACCAATTTTTTAATTGTCATTCATTAACAAAAGAGGTGCTAGCTAATGTAGAGAGATTTTTATCACATTCTCCTCCACCTCTCAGTGGACTGTCAGATTTGGAATATGAAATTTCTAAGGGTTCTGCACTTGAAAGCTCAGTTTTTCTACCCTACTCAGAGTGCTTACAAAATGATAAATCCACCAATTTAATGTCACAATCAGCTGTAAATTCTCAACAGAATTTAGAATTGAATTCACCTAAGTTTATTACTCATCCTTCTGAAACAACTTGCCTTCATGGTACAACTAATGATAATATTTCTGATGAGCCAAGCTTCTGTGACTCTGATAAAGTACATAAAAATAGTAAAAATGAACATTTAATATCCAGCAATCAAATTCAAATAAACATCAGCCCTTCAAAGGATTTTGCTGAAGAAAAGAAACATGATGTTGATAACAGTGACCTCCCAATATTGCATACTGCTCAGGATGAAAGTTTATTATTATTTGAAGATGTTAATACCGAGTTTAATGATGTGAGCCCTCCTCCCTTGAACAGTAAATGTGAATCTTTATGTATATCAGACAGAACTGCTGTAAGTGAAATGGCACCAGTCTCTCAATTCTTCATTTCTGATGAACTTTTGTTAGAGAATGATTCTGAACCCCAAGATCAAATTGTCTGTGATACTAATGTGACATGGAAATCTCATGAAGGTTTGAGAGGTATACCTGAGGAAAAACTGAATAATGATGAAAACAGTTTTGACTGCTCTAAGGATTTATTTTCTGTTACATTTGATTTAGGATTTTGTAGTACAGGTTCTGAGGATGAAGTAGTGGACCATGCATCAGTTACAAATAATAAAATTTTAGACAATCTACCTGGAAGACATTTAGACATTAGGCAGATAAATGGCACAAATTGTGTTTCAAATCAAGCAGTCATGTCAAGAGCCCATGTTGATACTTCTACAAGTGTAACAACTACTCACCCATCAAGTGAAGATAAGCAGAGTCCAGCTTTTTCATGTTTTGCAAAGAATGCGACAAAAAGTAAAGAATTTATGTCTCCTAGTTATTCTCAGTTTTCATTGCCAGCAGGAGAGAAAGTTATGAGCACACCACTTTCTGAATCAAGTGTATTGAACTCATTTTCTAAAACGAGAATAGAAATGGCTAAAAAGTCAGGTTCTAACATAGGAAAAGTAGATCTACACAGTTTCAAAGAAACATTGAATTCAACTTGTGATTCAGGACTTTCTATAGAAAAGTGTAAAAGCAAGAAACAAATCAATCTGCATCAGTCCTGCCATTCTACTGAAGGTAAGATTCCATCTTTATTTTTTTTTTTTTAATTTTTTAGATTCCATCTTTATAAAGCACAAATTTTCTAGAATATTTTGGATCAGAGTTTATAATTTTTACAAAATATAATTTCTCAGTGTATGATATATTGAATTAGGTAATTGATGTACTATATAGTCCTTATATTGATGTTTACTGATTCAGGATTTATTTTTTTTCTGCATGTATTTATGGCATGCATGCCATGGGAAGGTACTGTGCTAGACACTGAAATACAGAAGTGTGAGATTTGGCTCTAGCCCTTAATTATAAAACACAAACAATTGTATGACATATAAATTTGAAAAGATACCAGTAAATATGGAAATAACTACCAGATGAATAATAAGATGGTGGACATTTAGGTTCAGAAGATGAAAACATTTTGAACTGGTTTAGATTGAAAATGTTGACTTCTGATGTAGGTTTTCATCTCGGCTCCTTGGGAATATTAATGATTTGGACTTGTTGAAGATAATCAAAAGAGAATTTGGATGTTGTAAATGATGAAAGCAGAGGGAAAGAAAGCAAGTGTAAAGTTTGGGGGGGTATAAAGTAGGGGATTTATATAACAAAACTGAGAAATAAGACTGTATTTAAAAAATTGAGATAAGGTCATAGAAGATCTGTAGGAATCTTTGGATCTGTATAATCTAATTCTGTAGAAAATCCAGAAAACAGATGATTTAAATACCAGTGATTTATATATCAAAAATATAATGATTTAAATATCCTTTAGATCCTGTTATAGAACTCAACTCTACTCTATGTATAGATTATTATAAAAGGCCACTTATGAATCTTACTTTTTATGGCTAAGGAAAAAGAGTAGTTACAGGATAAAATGAGAATTTCCTCTATAAATCCTATGATTCATGAATGTTTTAAGATAAAAACTTATAGTTCTGGATATACAGTTAATTTTTAAAGACTAACTTGTCTACATAATTTTGGATATACTCTGACACGTTTTTTTACTAAGTATGTTGCCTAGGTCCTTTAACATTTAGTGCCTTTATATTAAGTCTTTGTTAATGAGCGAGGTAATTTTTCTTTGTGTCAGATTTGCATTAAAACTTTTTCCTAGCATTGCACTTAATGACTGACCGTGGGCAATATTGGTTCTGAATGCATAGCCATTAAGGCGCTATTTATTATGAGTTTGGTTTTTTTAGTGTTTTTTATTCCGCTTAGTTGAAATAGAAGATTTAGGATCATTTACCATGTTATATGTATACAACAATCTGTCTAGATAGATACTTTATTAGCCCAGAGCATAAGGAGAAATATACTGTGTGAGTTTGTATTAGTTTTGTACTGCTGTGTAAAAAATTACTCCCCCTAATTTAGTGGCTTAAAATAGCATTTATCTCACAGTTTCTGTAGTTTAGGAATTTCAGAGTTGCTTAACTGGGTCATTCTGACTTAAATTTCTCATGAGATTATAGTCAAGATTTCACTTGGGGTTGCAGTCATCTGAAGACTTGACTGGGCATGTAAAATCTGCTTCCAAAGTGGTTTATTTGAAAACAAGGAAGGATGATGGGAAGCACGCAGGAATCTCTAGTCCACAGTGATTCTAAAATCTAGCAGAGCCAAGACTGAAAGTTTCTTGATTAGTACTCAAAGCCTGGGAATAATTCTCCATGGTTCTTGGCTCTGTCCTCTGGATGCCTAGTCCAGTTTCCTAATAGGTAGCACTTGTGGAGCTTTCTCAGGTTGTGTCCTTCCAGTAAAAGTTTGGGGATCTAAAGGCCTCTTCATTTTGTACTCTCTCTGCCCCTTTTAGTTTAGCTGGCTGTGGTTTTTTCCTCATCTAATTCTCATAAATATTTGTGGATCTCTTGTGAATCTTACTTGAGGTTCATTCCGTTAGACACTAGCCATGTCCACAAATCTTTTGGAGCTGAGTTCTTCTCTAACTTTGGCTTCTGCTGAGATGTGTAAAGATAGTTCCTTAATCTTCTTAGAAAATCTGTTGTTTGAGAGCGAATGTAAGAGACATCTTTAAAATGTTTAGAGTACCGTCCGACTGAATGGTACTCTGAGAAACCACCTTTGATCTTTCTGAGATCTTAAATCATTTACAGTTATACCCTCAGCATCATCTGGACTGTAGTTTCCTGGCAGTCTTCTAGATTAGGTCTTTGCCTGGAAGATTTCTTAATTTAACATTGTTTGCCATCTGGAGAAGCTGGTAATTTTCAAAACCAGCAAGTCTCAACTGTTTCATGTTTTGATTGATTGATTGATTGATTGATTGATTTGGCTGTGGCGGGTCTTAGTTGCAACATGTGGGGTCTTTTACCTGTTGGCATGCGAGCTCTTCCATTGTGGCACGTGGGATCTAGTTCCAGGGATCGAACCTGAGCCCCTACGTTGGAAGTGCGGAGTTTTAGCTACTGGGCCACCAAGAAAGTCCGCCTGTTTCATATTTAATATACTTTCTTTAATTCCTCTCTATCCTTTCACATTTAAACAAGAAGCATAGGTGATACCTTAAACATGTTGTCTGGAAATCTTCTTGCTTAGAGCACCTCCTTCATTGTTGTTGTTCACTCACTCAGTTATGTCCAACTCTTTGAGACCCCCATAGACTGTAGACTCCTCTGTCCTTCAGTCTTCCAGATTTTGCTCAATTTCATGTCCATTGAGTCAGTGATGCTATCTAATCATCTCATCCTCTGCCATCCCCTTCTCCTTTTGCCTTCAATCTTTCCCAGCATCAGGGTCTCTCCCAATGAATTGACTCTTTGCATCAGGTGGCCAAAGTATTAAAGTACCAATTCTTTGGCTCTTGGCCTTCTTTATGGTCTAGCTCAGAATTTCCCATGATGTACTCTGCATATGTTAAATAAACAAGGTGACAGTGTACAGTCTTGTCCTACTCCTTTCCCAATTTTGAACCAGTCAGTTGTTTCCTGTTTGGGTCTAATTGTTGCTCCTTGACAGGGGTCTCAGGAGACAGGTAAGATGGTCTCCTTCATGTACCTCCTTCATGAGGTACATTTTCTACTTTCTGTGTTACTGCAACGTTGTTAAACTTTCTGGCACTATAGTGAGATTTCTCTTTCCTATAATTTCTAATAAGGATTTTCTTACTTCTTTAAGCTGTTACCCATGACCTCCTCAATGGCCATTAATCTTCTATAAACAATTCCTTTGAGGGTCTTCAAACTTTCACAAAAACTCTCCTCAAAAATTCTTTTAACAACAAAACAAGTTCTTTTAGCTTCTGCCCACTCTTTAGCTCTAAAACTGTATCCACCGTTTAGGTATTTGGTAATTAATTCCCTATTTCCATGCACCAAAATCTGTATTATTTATCTCTAGCTGCGTAACAAATTTACTGCAAACTTAATGGCTTAAAACAGCATGTAAGATTTCTGTTTCTCTAGACTAGGAATTCGAGAATGGCTTGGCCGGGAGTTCTGACTCCACATATTTTATGAGATTGCATTCAAAACATTGGCCAGGGCTACAGTTATCTAAAGGCTTGAATCAGCTTATCAGGTCACATTGCTGTTGTATAAGAGGCCTCAGTTTCCTGCCTTGTTTTCGTCCCCGTAGGATTACTTCCTCTATTCTTACCGTATAGCATCTGGCTTGCTCCAGAGTGAGTGATACAAGAATAACTGTCTTTGAGACTGAATAAATGTTGAGATTGCCAGGAACAATTTTTACTGTACCCATCAATAAAATAGATAGCTGCGGTTGGACAAACTTAAATCTGTTGACCAGATTCATTATCTTTAAATAAATTGTAGATGAACGATTATCAAGCCGTGAAAGTGAAGATGATGAGATTTTCCGAAGAAAAAGTAAAAAAACAAAAGGAAATGTTTTAGAATCCCCAGAGGTGAGTTGGTCAGTAATCACAGTAGCAAGATCATATAAAGTTTCTTGTTTCCCTTAAAACTTTTTTTTTTTTAATTTTTACTTTGTCTGCTTAATCTAGAATCAGAAAAATAGCGAAGTTGATTCTCCACTTCAGGTTGTCAGAAAGCGCAGGGTTCCTCCAAACAGAGTAAGTAAATAACAAATAATAAATAGTAATTAAAATCTTTTTGAGATAAATATTACAAGAGAAATATGTGAATAGTTGAGCATAGGTATATTTGATCTTACAGGTATTTTTAACAGAAAAAGATAGTAAATCTTCAGTGACTGGAATTTCTATTTTAATTTTAAACTCCTTCAAGAAACTGTTCCTATTTTTGTCAGTACACTCCAACAATTCATGAAACATTGATTAAATACCTACCATGTATCTACTGTGTAAGATGCTGGGGATAGTATAAAGAGTATTTCCTGATACTGTTTAAGTGCATAATCTAGTAGGAAGGATAGATAAGTAAATGGATAGTTTCCATATAATTTTTTAAGTGATGAGAGAAGATAAAACTTAACCTAGACCTTGGGAGTTCTGGCAAGCTTCTTGAAAATAACACCTTATACAAATCTTAAAGCGTACATATTTTAGGGGAAAAGAAGGGAGAAGGGAAGGCATTCCCAGCAGCTTAAAGAAGGGTACAGAACAGGGAAATGGCATCTCTTGTTGTGGATTGTAAAGGTAAAAAGTACCAGAAAGTAAAGCTGGAGAAAAATCTGGGTAAGCTTTTGGAAGGCCTTACTCATTCTTTTGCTTACTGAATGAGTTTGAAAGAAGGGAAAGGAGGAGTCCACAATGACTGTTCAGTTTTGGCTTGGGTTTAGTTGGCAGATACATCATGTTTTTAGAGGAAACAAGAAAGAGTGGTGAGTTCAGTGTTGAATATGTTCGAGTTTGAAGTCCAGGTGGGACAGTAAAGTGACAGTGTCTGGCAGGCACTGACAACTATGAAAATGTGAAATTTGGTCAGTGGGCACATCTTAAGGCTTTAGTATTCATTTGTCATCAGTTTATAGCTGACAGCTAAATTTTGAGACTAGGAAATCTTGTGTGTTTTAATTCTCTAATACTAACTAGTATAATTTGTGCAAGATTAATTAAAAATGCAATCAACCCTCATTAACTTTGTGTACTCATATAAAACTCCATTTAAAAAATTGTTTTAACTTGCTACTTTATCTAAAATGTCTGATTGACTTGCTAGACGTGAATTAAAATATTGATAATGCTGATGCTTAATCCACCTTAACCTAAAATTATCCCTGTTAATTGAAGTTACTTTGATAAATTTCTTTTGATTATTTGGATTGGTTTTATATTATTCTGTAAGAGATACTGTAGTAGGCTTCATAGTCAAAAGATTTGTTGGTATATTTTTTCTTAGTTTGTAAGGACTTGTGTATGTTTGAATTGATTTTGACAGCTATATTTATAGACAGCTTTTTTTTGTGAAGCCCTTCAGGATCTTTTAAAGGAAACAGTTAAACTAAACATTCATCAGATACATTCAATTTCATACAAAATTGAATGAATACTGTATTAGTATTACTTATAATTTATCATTTTATTACTTAGAATTATCTAACTTAAATTTTAAAATATTATGTATTTGTGCATGGCTCTGAGTTGTAAGAGCATTTTATTTTTCTAACATGAAAATGTTTGGTCAACTATTTAAAAGGGAAACATGATAATAGAAGCAACAACCCTTCAGAAACTAATTAAGATACAACACTTAAATAATATTTTCTTATGCAAGAATTTTATTGAATTATAGTTAGATTTATCATCTAGTGATGAGAGTGATAATTTTCACAAACGAGATCCACTATCAGAAGACTTAAAGGATCATAAGAGGAATGCCAAAAGAAGCATCAAAGTCCGAAAGAGACAGAATCACCTAAAGGTAAACTTTTTTCAGTTTCTTAGTTTTATATAAATATACTATATATTTTTAATTAGTACAGAGAGTAGATTTTACATAGAAGTAGATTTCCCTATGATTCCTTTATAGGAAAAAAACAAAACTTGAAAATTATTTTGACCCTAACTTTACTTTTTTTTACTAGAATTAAAAAGTCAAAGTGTGGTTTTTTAGTTTATCTTTGTGTTTTGAAACTATCTTGCAATGTTGTGACATTTTGAAGAACTAAATGAAGAAACTTTAGTGTACTGAAGATGTAACATTCAAATGGAAGAAAATATAGACAGAAATCTGAATTTTAAAATATTTGCTTTTATAATATTTATATTGTTTTTCTTATCTATATCCAATGTTCAAATTTTTGGAAAAGAATTCTTAGCACTTTTTTTTTCTGATCAGTCCTTTTGTGGCACTGTATTTTTCCTGGAAAAAATGAATTGTTGAAAGACTCAAGAGACTTTATTAAGAAACATTCAGCAAACAGACATGCTGACCTGTACTTTATTTTATTTATAACAATTAAAAGAAGACATTTTATATAGATATGCTACTTTATCATTTCTTCTCGAAGTTTTCTATTTTTATTATTTTTGATCTTAAAAGCACTGGCAAGAAATCCATTTTCCAAAACTATTTTCAGTTATTTGAGGACATTAAATGATTTTCTTAAAGGCACTTTCCTGTTTTCTCATTTATCTTAGCTCGTAGCTAGGAAGTTTTTAGATGAAGAAGCAGAACTTTCCCAAGAAGATGCAGAATGTGTTTCATCAGATGAAAATGATGAGTCAGAAAATGAACAAGACTCCTCACTACTTGACTTTTTAAATGATGAGCCTCAACTGTCACAGGCTATAAATGGTAAATGATACAATAATACTTTTTCTTTTCATTTTTAATGCTTTTACTGTGGTTATACTTTTTCCAAAGAACCTTGACTTTAAAGGGAATTAAATTTGATGTGTGTAAAATACTTGGTAATTCTGTAATATTTCCTTTATGTGAGAGTTGTTTGTTTATAGGCTACTAATTTTAAAAATTACTATTTTTAGAAAACAGTCTCTAGAGACCTGGCTGGCTGTCAGTTATTCATTTAAACAAGTATTAATGCCTGGTATGTGCCTAGCACTCTGTAAGGTTCTTGAGAAAGCTGTATCTATGAACAAAATGGACAAAACCCCCTGTGCTTCAAAAGCATACATTAGAATGGAAGAAGAGTAACAATATACACAATAACTAAATTATTTAGTGTAAGACAAGTTTACAGAAAAACAAAAACAAATTGAGTAAGATGAAGATTTGGAGTGTCAGGGGTTGGGGTATTAAGCTATAAATTTGAGCAGGGTAATTAGGGGTTGACCTCATTGAGGTTACATTTGTCCAGACTATAGGAGATGAGGAATTCAACCATGCAGTCTGTTAAAACCAGCTGAGACACAAAGATAAATTTATTAAATTCGTCACGTAAGGGAGACTACTTTTAGAAAACAGTCTCCCCAAATAGTGCTTGAGCAGGTCTTCTATAGATGATTCAGATTGGCTGCAATGGAAATGGGGAAGATTGTAGTGGGCTTTTCTGGATTCTTATCTTTCCCAAATCTTGCCATTATTCTGCTCCTCCAGGGTCTCATATGACTTAAGACGGCAAAGTTTCCCAAGGTCCATGACTTTAAAGAAGAAGGCTTTAAATACAAAGGTCTCAGTAGTGTGTTGCTGATTCAGATATGATTTGCAGAATAAGGCTTCTTTCCCAGGTTTATAGTAGAATCTGGTGGGAGAATGCTGATGCAGAGATGACCAGTGTAAAGGCCCTGAAGCAGGAGTGTGCCTGGCATGTTCAAGGGAACATCATTATGACTAGAACTGAAAGGGAAGAAGTGGGGTAGTAGGAAGTGAAATCAGAGGGGTAATGAATGAGCAGCAACTCATGTTATTTTGTATCACTCCAGCTTCTGTGTTGAGAATGACCTATCTGGGAACAAAGGTGGAAGAAAGGACCATTATATGGCCATGGCAGTAATCTAATCAAGGAATGATGGTGGCAGTGAGAGGAGGGAAAGATTGGGTTCTGGCTATGTACAGCTGATGGGATTTTCTGATGGATTAGAGAGACAAAAAGCAATGGCACCCCACTCCAGTGTTCTTGCCTGGAAAATCCCATGGACAAAGGAGCCTGGTGGGCTGCCGTCTATGGGGTCTCACAGAGTCGGACACAACTGAAGCGACTTAACAGCAGCGGCAGAGAGACAAAGAGGGAGTCAGTGGGCTTGAGCAACAGGTAGGACTTCAGTTGCTGCTATTGGGAAGGTTGAAGGTAGCTCAGTTGTGATAAAGAATAGGGAGATCTGAAACTCCGTTTAGACACAGTACTCTTTTTTCACAGTATGTTTGAAATATGTAGGATTTCAGAGTTGTTGTTTTTTTTTTTTTAAAGAAAATCTCAAAATCCACATTTTTTTTTTTTCATGCCTCATTTCTTAGGTACTCTTTACTATATAACTTTAAAAAATAATCGGCATGTGATTATCACATGAATTGTGCTTTATGAAAAAAGCCAGATTCAAAAGGTTACATACTGTATTGTTGTTTAGTCACTAAGTCATGTCCAATTCTCTCCAACCCATTGGACTGCAGCCTGCCAGGCTCTTCTGTCCATAGGATTTCCCAGGCAAGAATACTGGAGTGGGTTGCCATTTCCTCCTCTATGGGCTCTGCCTGACCCAGGGGTAGAACCCAAGCCTCCTACATTGGCAGGTGGGTTCTTTACCAATGAGCCACCAGGGAATCGCTAATCTGGGATAGGTCAAAGTTAAATACTTATTTACTTTTCGTTTAAGTAATTTGGGTATTTGACAATTTTTTTTATCTTTATACAGATTCTGAAATGAGAGCTGTTTACATGAAATCTGTGCGAAGCCCATTGATGAGCAATCGATACAAAATGGTCCATAAGAAACATAACAACATAAACATTTTTTCCCAGGTATGAACTATAGAAATACAGTGGGGAATTTCTTGGCAGTGACGTTGGAACATATTCCTGTTAATGAAGCCTTCATTTTGTTTCTAAAACTCCATCAGAACTGTTTGCAGAAGTTTCTGCCCTGAGTAGGGAAGATGGACTATGTGAATTCTCAAAATCCCTTTCAGTCATAATTTGATCACAGTTTCCTTTTGTTAATGAGCTAATTAGAATATACTCTGAATTTGTTTTCCAATTAGAATATTTAAAGGAAGTGAATAGAACTAGTTAAAATTTTAACTCTTCTGTTGTCATATTTCTCTTAGAAATAAATTTTTCCCATTAAAATGGCATATCACAAAAATTACAGATTATTTTTCATTTATGGAATCAATTTTGCATTAGTCTTATTTGTTTATAAATTGCCATATTCAGCTCAGAAATATGGGCATTTTTTTATGATCATTCTTACTCTGTACTTTCATTGTATTTATTATATAGTGTTTTATGAATTACTTATCACAGTATTTTATGAATTACTGTTCATTTTTCTGGCTACTTGCACTAGACCATAAATTTCTAGAGGGTAAATCAGTATTTTTTTTTTCATTCCCAAACTTCCCATTTTCTTCCATTAAAGAATATACTCAGAAAGAAGATGTGGTATATATAAAAACTGGAAGTTTACTCTGCCATAGAGAAGAAGAAATTTTGCCTTTTGTGACCACATGGATGGACCTAGAGGGCATTATGCTAAGTGAAAGAAGTCAGAGAAAGAAAAATATTGTATGATTTCACTTATATGTAGAATCTGAAAAATAAAACAAATGAACCACCATAATAAGTAAATCCTAGACACAAAGAACAATCAGGTGGTTGCCAGAGAGGAATGGGTGGGGAGGAGAGAAATAGGTGAGGGAGATTAAGGGATACAAATTTCCAGTTGCAAAATAAATGTCATACCTATGAAATGTACAGTGTGGGGAATATAGTTAATAATTATGTAATGTCTCTGTACAGTGATAGAATGTAACTAGACTTATGGTGATCAGTTTGAAATGTATGTTGTGTCGCAAAACTAACATCATGTTGTAGGTTAATTATAATTCAAAAACAAACTAATGCATAGAAAAGGGGTCAGGTTTATGGTTATCAGAGGCAGGGGTGGGGGATGCTGTGGGGGAAAGGCGGATTGGATGAAGGCAGTCAAAATGTGCAAAACTTCAGTTGTAAGATAAATAGGTACTTGTGATGGGCTTCCCAGGTGTCACAGTTAGTAAAGCATCCTGCTCAGTGCAGGAGACACAAGAAATGCAGGTTCGATCCCTGGGTTGGAAAGATCCCCTGGAGGAGAAAATGGCAACCCACTCTAGTATTCTTGCCTGGGAAATGCCATGGACAAAGAATCCTGGTGGGCTACAGTCCACGGGGTTACAAAGAGTCAGACATGACTGGGCATTCATGCAGACACAGACCTTGGGATGTAATGTACATGATAAATATAATTAATACTGCTGTATGTTAAATATGAAAATTGTCGAAAGTAAATCCTGAGAGTTCTCACCTCAAGGAAAAAGTATGTTTTTCTGTTTCTTTAATTTTGTCTCTCTCTGAGATGAGGACTGTTCACTAAATTTATTTCATGATGTAGTGAGTCAAATCATTATGCTGTACACCTTAAACTTATACGCTGTTGTATGCCAATTATATCCCAATAAAACTGGAGGAAAAAAAGAATATGCTCAGTAAGGAGTCAGCTGAGCAAGTGACTGAATTAATAAAGTAAATGAAATAAATATTCAGAGAGAGATCATGAACTTAAAAGAATATGTTAAAAACATGCTGGTTTTATGAAATCTATTATATTCTTATTTGTGTTTTTATTGTAGATTCCTGAGCAAGATGAAACCTATTTAGAAGACAGTTTTTGCGTTGATGAAGAGGAGTCTTGCAAAAGCCAGTCGAGTGAAGAAGTTTGTGTTGATTTTAACCTAATAACTGAAGACTGCTATACAAATGAGAGTAAAAAATATAAAACCCGACGTGCAGTAAAGCTAAAACAAATGAAGATGAGACAAAATTGTGCACGTTCAAAAAATAAATTATCCAGAATTATTTTACTGGATGATTCAAGTGAGGAGGAACACGATGTAAAGGATAAACAAGAATTCAGGATTGTGGTTAACCCAAGCACAGTGTCTTCTGGGTCTTCATTGCAGTCCAGGGACCACTCTAATCCAGTTGGTAATCAATTGCTAAACCAGAGACAACAGACACCACCTAATTTAAAGGTTCCCATTTCTGATGTCTCAGACTTCAAACCTCAGAACCATACGAACATGGAATCTGCTTCATCATTGTTCACTGCGGTCAGTGCACAGAAAGACTGTGGAAAGTTTCCAGTTCAGTTGAAGGTATGAATCAAACCAGAAAAAAAAGCCTTCATGCGTTTACCAAAAGGTTTTTTTGTTTATTTGTTTTCCTTTCTTTTGTGTTAAATAACTAGATCAAAGAAAAATTAACAAGTAATAGAATTCTTCAGACAAGAAATCAGCATACTAAATTATATAGCTAATTCATAGGATGCTTATTTTTTTAATATGTTAATAGCTTTCTTAAGAACACTGTAAGGAAACATGCTTCTTTTATAAAAAGAATACAGGAAATTAGCTTCTTGCAACAGACATTACATGCTCAGAACTAGTTTCCCCAGATTAACTTTTCTTTCCCTCTCTGAAGGCTTCAGGTATGTAACTCTCATCTACTTACTGGGGAGAGGAGGTTAGTTACTTAGTTCAGTCGCTTAGTCGTGTCCAACTCTTTGCAACCCCATGAATCACAGCATGCCAGGCCTCCCTGTCCATTACCAACTCCCGGAGTTTACTCAAACTCATGCCCATCGAGTCGGTGATGCCATCCAGCCATCTCATCCTCTGTCATCCACTTCTCCTCCTGCCCCCAGTCTCTCCCAGAATCAGGGTCTTTTCCAATGAGTCAACTCTTCACATGAGGTGGCCAGAGTATTGGAGTTTCAGCTTTAGCATCAGTCCTTCCAATGAACACCCAGGACTGATCTCCTTTAGGATGGACTGATTGGATCTCCTTGTAGTCCAAGAGACTCTCAAGAGTCTTCTNAAGAATTTTCCGCAGTTTATTGCGATCCACACAGTCGAAGGCTTTGGCGTAGTCAATAAAGCAGAAATAGATGTTTTTCTGGAACTCTCTAGCTTTTTCAATGATCCAGCAGATATTGGCAATTTGATCTCTGGTTCCTCTGCCTTTTCTAAAACCAGCTTGAACATCTGGAAGTTCATGGTTCATGTATTGCTGAAGCCTGGCTTGGAGAATTTTGAGCATTACTTTACTAGCGTGTGAGATGAGTGCAATTGTGCAGTAGTTTGAGCATTCTTTGGGATTGCCTTTCTTTGGGACTGGAATGAAAACTGACCTTTTCCAGTCCTGTGGCCACTGCTGAGTTTTCCAAATGCTGGAGTGGAGGTTAGGGGCCTGATTTTCTTCCTTTGAATTTCTTTCCTTCCAGAATGGTTATGTAGTTTACTTTCCAGCTCCTTTTTATTTTACTATTGCTAAAGTAATCCCCAAAACTATTTTCAGTTTTTAGGAGTTTATAGTTGCAGTAATTTTGCTAAAATGGGGGTTAAAGTGACAGTAGTAGGAATCCCCAGACCAAGACTTCTCCCGTTGCTTCCTCTGGGTTTCCAGGCCGTCCCACCTGAGCAGCGTGCTCTGGTGTCCACACAGTGGCCCTCAGATTGGCATTTCCGTACATTATCTCCAGACTTTTTTTTTTTCTTTTGGCATGAAAGTATGTCTGGGAGGCATAATTAGATAAAGTTGACTAGATTGTCTTATCAGTAGATTGGAGAACAACAAAGCACTTCATTTCTCTCAGAAGTATCAGCTCTAGTAGAAAGATGGTAATTCCAAGGGTCAAGGTCGGTAGTCCTTGCACAATGCTTTGAAAAGCGGTAAGCACTCCCTGTATCTCTACTTTAGCGTGCTCCAACCAGAACCATAGATATACCCTAGTAATATTTTGAGGACTGTGAAAAAGGATAGGTAGATTTTTATAGAAGTCTATTTTAATTTCTATCATCTACTGCATGGTATGATTCTTCTTCAAATTAGGAGGGGAAAGAATTTGAGGTAAATTTGAAAAGACAGAAAAGAAACTAAATATCCTGTCAAAAACTGTTATGATACTGAAAATGTTAATATTTATCTGTCACATATATTATATACACAGTGTTCCTTGTTCATCATTTGCCTTTGTTTTGTTTTAAGTAGGTTTTGCCATAGGAAATTTTAGCTTTTTTATAGAGTTCCAATTTTTTTCTTTATCATTTCTGACATCAGTGTTTAAAAATCCATTTTGCATTCAAAGGTAAATAAATATTTCTAATATTTTTTGTTTCTTTGGTGTCATCTTCCTTCATTAGATTTATTCTTTTCCTTTAAAAATTGAATATTAAATGCATTTTAAAGATTATTCTGAGTGATTAGCACTTCCTCTTTAGCTTTGAATATAGAAGGCTGGAAAGAATGTTGCTCCCATTCTTGCAACAACAACAAAAAAAGGCCAGATAATCTACAAAATCATAAGTTTATCTGGATCTGAGGCTGCATGGTGACCAATTAGCCGGATATCTAAGGAAAGACAAGTGCCTCCATGGAGAGACTTGCTGAGTTGCAACAGTCACTGGACATTGTACAATCTAGTAAGGAGACCTCAGCTAAAACTTTAATGAATTGCTAGTCATCAAGTGTTCACAAAAGAGACTGAGAGAGGAAACCTTCTTCCCATTGCAGGCAGTGGGCAAGTGACCAGCAGCTGCGTGGGCAAGGCACCAAGCCCCATCTAGTTCCTTCTCCCCGCGTTCCCCTGTGGAACAAAAAGCATTTAGCCACTGGGGGAAGAACAACAAACTCTGTAGTCCCCAGGGCCTGGGTGAAGACCCTTTGCAGAGGAAGGAAAGGAGAAAGAGAGAAAGTAGAATTAAGGAGAAGAGAGAGCAAGTAGATTTAGTTGAACAGGCAATGGCTGAGGATTTTCCAGAAGTACTTTGGCATACAAGTAGCTGAGTCTCTGTTTTCAGTTATCATGGCTATGTTATCTTGAAGTGGAATTCCTGGGCCATATGGTAATTCAACATTGAGAACTTGCCAAAGTTTTCCAGAGTGGCTGCATCATTTTCATTCCCACCAACAGTACACGTCCCAGTTTTATTCACATTCTCATCAACGCATTTTCCTTTTAGAAAATGTCTAGCCATCCTACTAGGTGTTAAGGGTAGCTAGTGGTAGCTTCATCTACACAGTACCTTTGGTCCTGTTGAAGGAAGAAGAAGTATGAGTGAGAAAAGTCAGCCTAGGTGTTAGAAGTTTATGGCGTCAACATACGTGTAATTGATGGTGATTGATGTTTTCTACTTTTCAGGGCGCTACTGCTCTGGAGGATTCTGGCACTTCTGTGCCATGCTGTTCCAACCCGCGACCATATTTGGCTGACACACGTGCTTCTCTAAGACTGCCCCAGGAAGGCCACAGAACTTGTATTCTTGTAGATAGTCGTGAAATCGTTTCTGGTTCAGAGGTAGTTTCTTCCCTAAGAGCAATTCATGGCTTACAGGTAGAGGTCTGTCCTCTTAATGGTTGTGATTATATTGTGAGTAACCGCATGGTGGTGGAAAGGAGGTCTCAGTCTGAGATGTTAAATAGCATCAATAAGAACAAGCTCATCGATCAGATCCAGTACCTACAGAGCATGTTTGAAAGAATATGTGTGATTGTGGAAAAGGACAGAGAAAAAACAGGTTTGTATTTTTATAAGGCTGTAAAGGAACTTGACTATTATTTAGTTCATTATTCTACTGTCAGGATGTGGGAGGCTCTTAAAATGTGAATACCTGACTCATGAATATTTACATAATGTCATAATATTTTTCATCAGTCACTGTGTTTAAATGCAGCTTATGAGCATTGAAGAGGGTGAATTGAAGGCAAGTGAACCAATCATGTCTTTTTCTGGGAGGAGCCCTGGGAAGGTTGCCAGAAATAAAGCAGCAGTATGGGTGAGGAGGATTGAGGAGTTTAAGAAGGTAGAATTAGCAGGAGTAAGTGGAAGCAATCAAGAATTACTCTTGAGCTGACCAGTTTCTTGATTACTGAGCAGTCAGGTAGTGGTGCTCTTCTTTGAAATTATGAATATAGGAGAAGCAGCAGATTTGAGACTAAAGAGGTGTTTAATGTTGAATACATTAAGATTGAATTCTCAGTGGGTCACTAAAATGGGTGCCTAGAATATTTTAGAAAATGTAGGCTTGGAGCTTCAGCTAGGGAGTTTTATGGGTAATATTTAACTGCATAGGGCATCCCTGAGACTAGTGAAAAGATAATAGGGTATGGAATCAGAAGATGCACTGAGTTCTGATGTCTTTTATAGCTATGTGACATTCCATTTGACAGTTAACTCCTCTGAGGAGTTAATAGTACACTTTTCCTAGTCATCCCGTGGTGTTACGAGAATTCAGTGAAATCATGCAGCTGAAAGCCACTATGGAAGAATTCAAGGATTATACAGTCATTACGTATATAAAAGGAAATAATGTTTATGTAAAACGTTGGTTCAGGAATTGAGCAACATACCTTTTCATCACCACTATCATTATTGAACCAGGTGATCTTGAATAAATCACTCTTTCTTTCAGTAACCCCAATCCAATTTCTTTTTTCTTTTTTAATTTGACAAATGAGGGCTTTAGATTATGTGATCTTTTGGGTCTTTCTAGCGCTAAATTTCTATAGTTTATACTAACATACCCTTTATAAAGGAAATAGATTTTTAATAAAAAGGAAAATAATGTGACAAAAGCTATGGAAAAACTTTTTGTTGTTGGCATAAAGAAGAATGCCAAAAGAAGGATGTAGGTAGACATGGAAAGGAGATGAATGAGAGTAGGGAAGAGTTAAATTAACAGGCAAGAGTTAGAGATATTATAATGGGTGTGGAATCATTAAGTTATCCTTGAAAGAAATACATGAGAATTTTATATCTGTTAGAAGTATTACTAAGTGAACGCTTCAGTAATGCTAATATTACGAATTTGATAGATGAATATGGTCTTGGCCATCAGGAATGAGCTAAGAATATACTTTCTCCTGTCTACTCGCCTTCTGTTGATTCTAATTTAAGACACTTATAAAGACAGTTTTCCCTATTTTCTCTCTCAGATATTTGAGAATCACTTTAAATCTTTAGCAGTAGGATTTCTCATTAGCATTACGTAGCACTAGTTTAATGATATAGATCATGGGATTTTAATAATGTATAGTATTAACAGTTCTACTCAATGTAAGTTACTAAGGTTTGCATTTTCTTAAATAAAAAATATTTAGGAGACACATCCAGGATGTTTAGGAGAACAAAGAGCTATGACAGCCTGCTGACTACCTTAATTGGTGCTGGGATCCGAATTCTTTTCAGTTCCTGCCAAGAAGAAACTGCAGATTTGCTAAAGGAATTGTCTTTAGTGGAACAAAGAAAGAATGTTGGCATTCATGTTCCAACAGTGGTGAACAGTAAGAAATGTGAAACTCTTCAATTTTATCTAAGTATTCCCAATATAAGTTATGTAACTGCACTGAATATGTGTCACCAGTTTTCATCTGTGAAAAAGATGACAAACAGGTATGTCTGTTTTAATATTGTTAGATGGTTACTTTAAAATTGTTCTAAGAGGGATTTCATTGGAATTTTCATATTTTTTAAAAGTAAAGAGGTGTAGTGCCAGTTAGATTCATTCAGTAAAGACTTTGCTTGTTACCGAATTAAGCTAAGGACATTAATGGAAGGGGGGAGTTAAAAAGGTAAGCATTGTATTTGTAGCTTAGAGCCCTACGTGGAGGTAGACAGCACTTGCAGTCTAACATTTCTGGGCATTTTAGTTCTGTAACTAAAAAAATGTTCAAGTTGAAAGTTTTACTAGGTTTTAATGACTTTATTGCTTGAAAATCAAATGAAGGTATTAGCAAATACATTAAACTACAGGCCCAAATAAGATGTTGAAATTATAATTTTAAATGATTTCAAATATAGGAAATAAATGTGCTTTTGTTTTATTTAAACCAATGCTAAACACATTAAGTGAATGTAGAAATCTGGGGGAAAAAATTATTTCCTTAAAGGCTTTTGTTTGGTGTTCTTTAAACAAGAATATTGAATTTTATAAGTCAGAAGTTCAAGTAGATTTTTGTTTATTTTTCAGCACACCTCAAGAAATTTCCATGTATGCACAAGTAACTCATCAAAAGGCTGAGGAGATCTATAGATATATTCACTATATATTTGACATGCAAATGTTGCCAACTGATCTTAACCAAGGTAGTAGTAAATCTGATACGTGATCAGACTGCTCAGGTTGGGTTATCAAAGAACAATACAAAATGCACTTCAATAATCATTGCTGCAGTTTATGTTGAATACATATATATGAGAATATTGCCGTATCTATTGTTTTATACTGTGTACATGTTTATATAGAATATGTAAATTTTGAAAACATGTGTTTAATAATTATTTTGGTTAATTAGATAATGAAACTTTCTTATTGAATAAAAAGTTTATTTAAGGTGCTGTGAAGAAATAAAAGCTAGAGTGAAAGATGTATTTTAGGAATTTTCCAAAGATTATAGTGGTGTCATTGTCATTTGTTAGCATTATAGGTTGATGTATCTGCTGCCAGCTTAATGGTCGTAAACATTTTTTCCTATACATATACAATATTGAATAGGTATGGGTGGTAGGTGTATTGAGATAATGCCCCAGGAACTAGGAGAAGTCAAAAATTTAACTGAATCCTAGTAGCTGTCAAATTCTAGTAGTATGAACTCCAGTCTATACTACTTTTGTTGTTGTTGAAATACCAAAGAAGTGATATACTGGAGTTGCAAAATTTCAGTATAGGTTGAGCTGTCAAATGCAGGCTTTCATTGTGACCCATCACATTGCATCTGTGATGCTACTAATATTTTAAGATGGTTCCGTATTATTATCTGCAACATGAGTCTCTTCCTTCTAGTCAGTGTAGTGCTAAAGCAGTCTATAATTATGGATATATGTTTTCCCCACCTAAGGTCCTTTATTCTCTGCCTTATTTTTATCTTCTATTACACATTGTTGGGGAGTTGAATCAACCGAACAGCAGAGGGTTTCACTTAGACTCGGCATGGCCTTCAAAGCTGATCTAATTCAGATTGCTTTTCTCTTTCCTATCAGACGATAAAAGAGACACAGAAACAAGTGACTTCCTCAAGTGTAGACTGAGAAATCTAGCTAACAGGAACCCAAGAACTAGATAGTTTTCTTTCACTAAAAAAGCTACTCTGATTGTGAACTTAGCTCCTTTGGGACAGTGTAAATTCTAAATTCTTCTAAAGCAGTTGATCTCTTCTGCCTGCTGTTCAGTAATTTTGTCAGACTTCTCCTTTACAGAGAGTAAAGGAAGTGATATAAATTACTGGCTGGTGTGCAGTTTTCCGTATATCTCTCAGGATCAGATTCATCCTTTAGGATCTCACTGTGCAGCGGTGGAGTGGACGTTCTGAGCGTTTCCCCCTAGTGAGCATGGTTCTCAGCTTCGTCAGGTAGGAGGAAAGGGGCTTCTCTTTCCGGCCCCAGCGTGCTGTGTCGCTGCCCCTCACACTGCGTGGGTCAGCGGGCGCGCTGGGTAGGGCCGTCTGGCGCAGCCCTGTGCCCTAGCTCCACCAGAAGCACGCAGCCCCCTCAGCAACCTCGCACTGCCGCGGACTGATGGCTTCCCCACAGCCTCTCCCACGCAGACACCAGTGTCCCCAGATGCTGTGTGCACGCTGCAGACAGAGTGTTTCCTAAATGGACATGGTTTGAGGGACATAACTTAGAGGATTTCATTTACTTATGCTTGCTGTGTAGAGACCTCTATCCGTTTTTAAACTGCAACAGCCTCATTCTATATTCCCACAGGTTGCACTTATCAACCCTATTGTTTATCAATCCATCTTGTCTGCCTTTGAGCTCTCAAAGTCTTTCTCTTCCAATTTGAAGTCTCCTTTGGATGTTACCTTAAACCTTACTAGTTTATCTAATGACCCAATGGAAAGAAATGGGAGTAACCTGGTACCTGGCAGATACTTGATAGGTCACAGGGAATATGGGGAGTGGGGGTACCTTGTAGTTGACGTCAAGTGTATGCTATTTCAAAATACCCTTTTTGTTTCCTATTATAGAATTGAACTACCTTTTGATTCCTAAAATACTTCCATTAACATCAAACAGCACATTATTACACCAAATATTTGTAACTTAAAGTTCTACAGTAGTTTTTTTAGAGCTACTCTAACATAACCCTTTCATTTTTTTCATCCTTCACCTAGCAAAATTATTTGTGGCAGAAACTATCATGGTAGTTTAAAGGAGAATGATCTCACTTTACCTGCACTATTCTTTTTAAATCTTGTGTTTCTATGAATTCTATAGTTCTTTAGTAGCTGATCATTACTGACTAAATTCTTAAGAAACAAATGTACTTTTTTCTATAAGTTTTGATATTTTTCAAGGAAAGAGCTGAAGCATTAACCAAAAAGGTCATTTTTTTCTATGATCCAGCAGTTAGAAAAACCAATCAAAACACAAATATTATTAAAGAAAAAACTTACTTTATTTGAACAAACCTAACTGGAAAGGGTGAGTGATGTACTATAAACAGAGGGAAAAAAATTTTCATGTCAAATTTAAAACATAATGACAGAATATGCTAAAAGATGTTTATTTCTAAAGAAGCTGTCCCAAAGGAAAACAGTGTTTACTATGACATGACATAGTAACTTGACTTCTTACAGTAGTAAATCTGTAACCTGAATGTTTTGTCTAATCCAGTCTTTTAAATACTGAGACCAAATTTTTGCTATGTCTGCTTAAAAATACAAAATGTCTTCTCATTCTATTTAATAAAAATACTTAAAAGCAATAAATGAAATTTACATAGGTTTCACAGATGTGCCAATCACAAGTTTTAAGAAAAACAATCAGGAGAAAGCATGTCAAAATGGTTTAAACAACGTGTAATTAAAACATTAGATCTGACTTGTATACCAACTGGTAACAAATGCTAACCTAAAGTTTTCATGAACTCAGTAGCTACAATCTATATTCTATTCTCCCCCATCTCTCCATTTAACAATAGTAATATTTTCTTAAATGCTTAAAAAAAAAAATAAGAAAACCTGTATGGAACATGATTTTCTTAAACAGACTAAGATGATTATGAGAGACATAAAACATGAAACCTTTGAAAAAGAGTGTGCAGTTTCTATAAAGAAAATATATATATATACTTCAGATGAAGACACAAATACACTGCTTCTTGATAAACATCCTGGACATGTTCTCTTATTTATACTACGAAGAATCAGAATTTGAAAAATAATAATCGTTCTCTTCTTCATCTAAAGACTCCATAGCCTTTGTGAAAAGTTTTCCAATACCAGAGTTTTCTGCTAATTCTGTAACGAGAAGTTTAATAAAAAAGATTAATATATTTCTAAAAGCAATTTCAAAGAAATTGAAAATAACTATAGGAAACAAATTGATAGTCTACCCACTTGAGAACAATTAATTTTAATACTGTGTTAATAAAGAGACTACCCTATAGTAGAACAGAGCTACAAAAGAAAAGTACATTACCTTTGTTAAATGTTGTTTTTCTTCTTGATGGTGGAGTTGAAAAATCAGTTTCAAACTACAAGAGAGTTCATATTAGCTAAGTGAAAATTCTTCCAATACCCCAGTTTTCTGCTAATTAACCTCCTGTGAAGACTGCTTCAAACGTAGACAAAATTCAGTATACTTTATCCCAAAGGAAATATTACAAACTAATGCTGTAGTGGTTAAAGGATAACACCTGAAAGTTGCCAAAATCAACTGAATACTTATTCCATTCCATAACACTAGCAAAATTTGAGTTCTCTGTACTTTAAATTCTTGGCTAATGTAGTAATTCGACATATATGAAAAGTTTCAAGTATATAATGCATGCTTATGTACACCAGTATGTACACCAGTACCTTTTAAACTATTGGCCATGGCTATCTTTAAAAAATGAAAAGGAATAGGATAGAAAAGAAAATATGACAGCACACGCCAGACAGAAGTGGCAAGATATAATCAAAGTCCTGATAGGAAAATCTGCGAACTAGGATATTCTACCCAGCAAGGATATAATTCAGAATAGAAGGAGAGATTAAGAATTTCACAGACAAGCAAAAACTGAAAGACTACAGCAATGCTAAACCTATCCTAAAGGAAATACTGAAAGTTCTTCTCCACACAGAAAAGAAGTTAAGAATCTACAGGAAAGAAAATCACAACTGGAAAGTAAATAAATAAGCCAGGACACAGATTTTTTTAAAAAATGAAAACAATTCATGAAAGCAATGATAACCACAAAAAACAGCAAAAGGATGAATATGAAGATTTAAAAGAGGACATCAGAATCATAAAATGTAGGGGAGGAGAGTAAGAAAATGTACATTTTTTTCCCCCAGAATATGTTTGAGCCTATATTACTACCAGTCTAAAGCAAGTGGATACAGGAAGAAGTTAATATACTTGAAAAACAAGGTAACCACAAATCAAACATACAACAGATTCATAAAAACCAAAAAGAGAACACAAACACAATATGAAAGAAAATCATCAAACCACAAAAGGGAAAACAAAAATGGACAAATAAGAAAATACAAAATCAACAGGCAAACAAGGTTTAAAATGGCAATAAATAATCTATCAATAATTACCTTAAATGTGAATGCACTAAACGTTCCAGTCAAAAAACACATGTGCACCTGTGGCTGATTCATGTCGATGTATGGCAGAAAGCATCACAATATTGTAAAGTAATTATCTTCCAATTAAAATAATTAATTAAAAATTGGATGAAAAAAGAAGAACCTACAGCATGCTGCCTACAAGAGGACCCACTTTAGGGCACATAGGACATTTCATGAAATAGAAATGAGAAAGCTGGGCGGGCGGTGGGGAGTGAAAAGGGGGGCGGGGGGGAGCAATACTCAAATCAGACAAAGTAGACTTTACAACAAACGCTACAAAGAAAGATAAAGAAGGCAAGCTACTAGCACTATTGTAATGACAAAAGGATCATTACAAGAGGATATTACTGTCATCAACACAATGCGCCCAATAGAGGAGCATCCAGATACATAAATACTAATAGAGCAGAGACATCCCTTTGCTGACAAAGATCCATATAGTCAAGGCTACGGTTTTTCCAATAGTCAGGTATGGATGTAAGAGTTGGACAATAAAGAAGGCTGAGTGCTAAAGAATTGATACTTTTGAACTGTGGTGCTGGAGAGACTCTTGAGAGTCCTTTGGACTGCAAGATGAAACCAGTCAATCCTAAAGGAAATCAACCCTGAATATTCATTGGAAGGACTGATCCTGAAGCTAAAGCTCCAATACTTTGTCACCTGATGCAAAGAACTGACTCACTGGAAAAGACCCTGATGCTGGGAAAGACTGAGGACAGGAGCAGAAGAGGGCAACAGAAAATGAGATGGTTGGATGGCATCACTGGCTCAATGGACATGCGTTAGAGCAAACTGGGAGATAGTAAAGGACAGGGAGGCCTGGTGTGCTGCAGTCCAAGGGGTTGCAAAATCGGATACGACTTAGCAAGTGAACAACAGACATAAAGAGAACTGACAGGAATACAATGATAGTAGGAGACTTTAACACCCCACTAAATCAATGAACTAATCTTCAACACAGAAAATCAACAAGGCAGTGGAGATCCTGAATGATATGATATCATCATGATCCCCACTTCACATCATATATTAATGAGACTGGAAAGCTCAAGTAGCTTGCCTTGTCATAAAGCTGGTATGGAGTCAAACTTTGAAATCAGAACCTTTAATACTAAACCCTTTGCTCTATCCTGACCTAGTGGCTATAAATGAAGCCAAAATTTCATTCTTGTAAGAAACGTGGAATTGGAAAAAGGGACTCAAACACTGCAAGGGAGTTTGCCCACATTTTCAATTACAGAGAAGTTTCTTTTGAAGAATTTACAGTCTCCAGGCTGATTTTAAACAGTTTCTTTTGAAGAATTTATAGTCTGCAGGCTGATTTTAAACCAAGGTTCCCAGAGTTATCAACCACTTCCTATGGACAAATAAAGCCTATAAAGATTAGATCTGGTTAGGTAATCCCAATGTTTAAGTTTAGAGACTCTGAGAGGAACTATACTCTAGCAGGTGTCCTATATAAATACTTCAACATGGGTGGGGGGAAGAAAAGATGGCCATAACCTGGTTTGAAGGAATACACCCTCAGGGAATAAGGTAGTCTCCTCTTTTACCCCATACATTATCATTCTCTAAGACTGGCTATTTACTTTGAGGAAATCTGAGGTGAACTAGCTTTTCCTGAATACTTACAGTTTTATCTGGATATAAATTATTCAAATTAAATGAGAAGTCAAAATTTAGATCACTCAAAGGCAATATTGAGTTAAAATTTTTCTATAATTAGATTTTAAATATTGAAATACATACAATACACACATACACATATAAAATCAAGTAGCTGAATCTGAAAAAATTTTGAAATCTGTAGAGTATTTTGAATCTGTAATGAAATTTCTTATTCCATGACAATCATAACTCAATCAGTATGGATTATTCCCCGATCACTGAATAGATATTATGCTTCTGTGTCTTGCCTGAAATGTCCTTCTCTAACCTATATGTGTTTCTCCTACCCTGCCTGACTCCTCAAATGAAAATTCTCACCTTACTCAAATGCTCCAGTCTATGAACTGCCACCTGTAATCCTATAGCATTTACGTGCTTACCTCACTCATAGCCTCATATTATAATTTACTTATATTAGGCTATAATCAACATGAAGGCAAGGGTTGTTACATAACTTATAACTCCAACAATTTGCCAGGTATTATAGTTGTTCAACAGATGCATGCATGCTCAGTCATTTCAGTCGAGTCCGACTCTGCAACCCTATGGACCATAGCCCACCAGGCTCCTCTGTCCATGGGATTCTCCAGGCAGGAATACTGGAGTGGGTTGCTATGCCATCCTCCAGGGTAGCTTCCTGACCCAGGGATCTAAAATACATCTCCTGTGTTTCCTGCATTGCAGGCAGATTCTTTACCGCTTAGGTACTGGGAACCCCCAACAAAGAAAAATACTTACTGTTTTTTTCTTGATATTGCCCCAGGTAGTGCCACCTTTACTTTTATGGGTTTTTTGCATACGAAAAACATATTTATCACAATCATTCCTGTTTAAATATAATTTCAAATCAACATTAATCACCATACTTTAATCCACCGATTAAACAGCAATTGACAAAATTAATTTAAAATGTTTCTGTACGTTAAAAGTACATTTTATAGTCCATTTTTAAAAAGACAATTGTGTACCGATGGAGATGGACAAAATGCTTCAACCCTATAAGAGTGTTCTGAAAAATGGCTTTTTCCTCATTGTCCATTGTCCCATCTGCTCCTTCTAGTCTCTATCTTGCTGCCTGTCTTTTCTCAAACTCACTAAGACATCTTGTTCATTGATTCCCTTTTGTTATACCTTTCACTCCTTTCTCTTGTTCATGTCTTCCTTCCCTATCCGGGTTGAATCTCAGAGTTACCACTTTAAGGATATGCATGATGATGAAAACTCTCCATTAATTTATGCCTTCCAATTGTGTTGAGATTCAGTTTGGCTCATAAGCCTTTTATTTTTACATCATTACATGTTTTTTATACCAACTAAGATGTTAAAAAAAGGTTTTTTTAACCTTACCTCTTTCCCCTCTCATCCTTAGCAAATACACCTGACTCATAATTTACAGATGAAAACTGAAGCCACATAGAATGTTGTTCTCAGTTTCCCCAACAATTACTTAGGACAAATTTTCACTCTAGGCTTCAAGTTCCTTTATGATTGACTATCCATTCCTTTATGACTATTTGGCAACCTTAAAGGTAGGACATGTAAGAAATATGTAAATATGTGATACATATTAAGATACCAATGTGAACCACAAGCACTGCTGCGCAGTACGTGAATGAGCCTAGCCAGTTGTTCAGGATCAGCACCTCACAAAACTGCTGTCCTGTACAGATACTTTGGGAGTGATAAAAAAAATACTGCTGAATTGCTTAAAATTGTTATGAAAAGGAAGCTAACTACTAGAGTCGGTGAAGTCTAGAGATTAAAGAGGTCTAGGAAACTTGTTTTTTAAAATTAAAGTTTTACAAAATATATTCTTGGTATATGAGTCCATCTTGTGCTCTATAAGGAAAAAAAGCCATTTTCTATAATTGTGAAAGTGATATATATTAAAAGAACAGTATCACAATCCACATCAGTGTAATCCTACAATCTACAGATAATGGCTGGTGTTTTTGGTTAAGGAATTTCCTATCTCCTATGAATACATGTTACAAAACTGGGATCATACTGTATGTAATATAGTTTTATTTCTTAAACTGGATCATACTATATGTAATATAGTTTTATGTTAGCTTTTAAAAATTATTCACTGAACATTATTCTATATCATTACAATTTATTGAAAGCATTATCTAATTCTTTTAAACTTTTATTGGAGTATAGGTGCTTTACAATGTTGTTAGTTCTTACTATACAGCAAAGTGAATCAGATACACCCACACAGAAAGTGAGTTAGCTACACACACACAACACACACACACACAGAAAGTGAGTTAGCTACACACACACACACACAGAAAGTGAGTTAGCCACACACACACACACATTTTTGGATTTCCTTTCCATTTAGGTCACCACAGAGCATTGAGCAGAGTTCTCTGTACTATACCTGTAGTTTCTCATTAGCTGTCTACTTTAAACATAGTATCAACAGTGCACATATGTCAAACCTAGTTCTCCCAATTCATCCAACCACCCTCCCCCCTTGGTATCCATGTTTGTCCTTTATATCTGTGTCTCTATTTCACTTTGTAAATGAGACCCATCTATATCAGGAGTTCCTCAAGCAGAGGGCCTGGGACTTGTAATGGTCCATGACCTGTTGGGAACCAAGCTGCACAGAAGGAGGGGAGGGACGGGTAAGTGAGGCTTCACTGCGGTTCCCCACTGCTCACATTACTGCCTGAACCATTCCACCCTCTACCCACCCCCAGGTCCGTGGAAAACTGTCTTCTACAAAACTGGTTCCTGGTGTCAAAAATTTTGGGAACTGCTGGTCTCTACCAATTTTTTCAGATCCCATATTTATGTGTTAACATACAATATTCTTTTCTCTGACTGACTTCACTCTGTATGACAGTCTCTAGGTCCATCCTTGTTTCTATAAATGGCCCAATTTCATTCCCTTTTATGGTCATATTCCCTTGTATATATATATCACATCTTTATCCACTCCTCTGTTAACGGACATTTGTTTCCATGTCCTAGCCACTGTAAATAACGCTGCAGTGAACACTGGGGTGCACGTGTCTACTTGAATTATGGTTTTCTCTGGGTATATGCTCAGTAGTGGGGTTGCTGAGCTACATGGTAGTTTCGGTTTTTAGGTTTTTAGTTTTTTTTTTGGCTGCACCATGTAGCATGTGGGATCTTAATTCCCTGACCAGGAACCGAACCTGTGCCCTCTGCATTGGCAGCTCCGAGTCTTAACTACTGGAATGCCAGGGAAGTACCTCAATTTTTAGTTTTTTTAAGAAATCTCCATACTGTTCTCCATAGTTGCTGTATCAATTTACATTCCCACCAACAGTGCAAGAGGGTTCCCTTTTCTCCATATCCTTTCCAGCATATACTGTCTAGATTTTAATGATGGACATTCTGACTGATATGATGTGATATCTCATTGTACTCTCGCATTCTTTAATAACTAGTGATGTTGAGCATCTTTTCATGTGTTTGTTGGCTATCTGTATTGAAGACATCATTTTAAATTGTTCCATATTCTATTATATGGACAAATCCTAATTTCTTAACTTTCCTTATTATTGGACTGTTAGGTCACTTTCAAAATTTCAGTATTGTTTTGTGATGAACATCTCTGTTCATACAAGTGTACGCTCATACTTGCCCAAATTCATATTTCCTTAGAAATAAAATTCAAGAGCCAAAGGAATGAATATCTTAAAGCTAATGATTTGGCCAAAGTTCTTACCAAAATCTGTCCAAAATTATATGTGCCACAGAAATAAACTCACACACCTATGGTCAATTAATCTTTGACAAAGGAGGCAAGAATATACAATGGAAAAAAGACAATTCTCTTCAATAAGTGATGTTAAAGTTGGACAGCCATATGTAAATCAAGTTAGAAAACACCCTCACACCATGCATAAAAATATGGCTTAAGGACTTATAAGACATGACACCATAAAACTCCCAGACCAGAACATAGGCAAAACACTCTCTGACATAAATCATACCAGTATTTTCTTAAATCAGTCTCCCAAGGCAATAGAAATAAAAGCAAAGTTAAACAAATAAGACCTAATCAGACTTACAAGCTTTGGTACAGCAAAGGAAACCGTCAACAAAACAAAAGGACAACCTACAGACTGGAGAAAATAGCTGCAAATGGTGTGACCAACAAGGGTTAATTTCCAAAATATACAAAGAGCTCATACAACTCAACAAGGGAAAAACAAAACAACCCAATCAAAAAATGGACAGAAGACCTAAGAGACATTTTTCCAAAGAAGACATACAAATGCACATGAAAAAATGCTTAACCTCACTAGTTATTAGAGAAATGCAATTCAAAACTACAAGGAGTACTACCTCCCATTGGTCAGAATGACCATCATTTAAAAATCTACAAGTAAGTGGTGGAGAGAATGTGGAGAAAAGGGAATCCTTCTGCCCTGTTGGTAGGAATGTAAATTGGTACAGCCACTATGGAGAACAGTATAGAGGTTCCTCAAGAAACTGCAGAGAGTTGCCATATGATCCAGCGATTCCACTCCTGGGCATATATCCAGACAAAACTATAATTTAAAAGGACACATACACCCCCTATATTCATAGCAGCACTATTCACAATAGCCAAAACATGGAAGCAACCTAAATGTCAACTGACAGATGAATGGATAAAAAAGATATGGTACACATATACAGTGAAATACTACTCAGCCATAAAAAGAACCATGAAATAGTGCCATTTGCAGCAACATGGATGGACCTAGATATTATCATACTAAGTGAAGTCAGACAGAAAAAGACAAATAGCACATGATATCACTTATGTGTGGAATCTATGACACAAATGAACCTATCTATAAAACAGAAATAGACTCACAGACACAACAGGCTTGTGGTTGCCAACGGGAGAAGAGATTGGGAGGGAAATGGATTAGGAGTTTGGAGTTAGCAGATGGAAACTATTATATATAGACTGGATAAATAACAAGGTCCTACTGTATAGCACAGGGAACCATATTCAATATCCAGTGATAAGCCATAATAGAATATTTAAAATATATATATATAAAAAAAACTGAGTCACTTTGGTGTACAGAAGAAAATGACAACACTGTAAATCAACTATACTTCAATTAAATTCTGAAGTATTTTTAAAAATTGTATGCTTAATATACTTTTACTTGTAGTAAATACTTATTTAAAAATGAACAAAAAATAATTTCTGGATTGCTAGGGAAAATTATGTTTTTGCTGAGTAAATGCAAATTCAAATTTTCACTAAGCTTCATGAGAATACTGAATGGTTTTTTTTCCTCCCAGTTTTGATCATATGGCTTTGCTCTCTCACACCCCAAGAAAACTGCTTTTATCAAGATCAGTGCTAGCCTGCTGAACTGCCAAATGAATAGTCTATTTTCAGACCACCTTACCATTTTCCATTTTCCCCCTATGTTATTTGATTGTTGGCCACCCATACCGTTTCTTATTTTTATTTATTTATAGTGCAAAATAACGTTTATATTCACATAGTGTGGAATTCAAAGTCTTCTTTTTTGTCCCAAGTTATCTTAGTTTGTCTTCTTGAAAGATCACCAATGTTTTCAGTTGCTTATGTATCCTTTCAGAGATATTTGATCAAATAAAAGCAATTACATGTGTGTATACACACACATACATACAAGGATACACACACAGAGCTCCTATTTACACAAATGATAACACATTAACTACATCTAATGGTTTTCATTTATTTTTTTATTTTTTGGCTGTGCTTGCGGCATGCAGATCTTAGTTCTCCCACCAGGGATCAAACTCACGCCCCCTGCACTGGGAGCTATAGAGTCTTAACCACTGGACTGCCAGGGAAGTCCCCCTTTTTTTCATTTAATATATCTTGAATATCTTACCATAAGTACACAAAGAATTTCTCATTAATTTCTATGACTACATAATGTAGCAGAATTTGATTGGTCCCTAATCGATGGACATTTGAGTTTCCAGCCTTTTGTCATTATAAGCAATACTGCAACAAATTAGCTGTACAATCACAATTCTAGAAGTAGGACTGCTAGGTCAGAGAGTGTATGAATTTATAATTTTGATAGATATCAACAACGTACCACTTTCAGGGACTGAACTAATTTACCTTTTCACTAGTAATGTGTGAGAATGGCTTTCCTTTTCTTGTTAATTGGTAGGAGTGTTGTAACAGGGAAGTTAGCCTTTTTTCCTGTGGTAAGTTCCATAAATTCTTTTTTTTTTTAATTATAAGTTCAATAAATTCTTTTCTCAGATTCTCATTTGTCTTCTGACTGTTTCTGATGGTTGGTACCAACTAAAACTTTTATTTTCTATATGGCTGACTTTATCATACTTTTTGTTAGTGGCTTCTGGGACTTCTAAGATTATGAAATACTTCTCCACAGTTTTCTAAAGATATATTTTATAGTTTAATTTTTACATGCAAAACTTGGACCCATTTGGAATTTATCCTAAGGCAGAGTGTGAACTGTGTACTGACAATGCTGAAAACACCTATACTTGCAGAGACTATCCACCTCTGACCTGTAGGAACCATTCTTTCTTGTTTTTTTAAAAATAATGATGACTTCTCTAATTACTGACATCTACTGTCTTCAACATGGGATGTTAAAAGCTCCTGCAGAGAATTACTGTTCCATGTGCACAAACACTTACCTGTTTATAGAGTCTAGCATGCCAGGTGTGACATGATGGCACTGAGGAGTTTTTGCCAGTGGAAAGATAACTGATGATGGAGTTGTTGGATTTCTGTCCATATTTGGCAGAATATCATCCCCTTCTTGACTGTCCTGGAAACTTGGTAACTAAAAAGCAAATATGTATTACCAAAAGGCACCCCTAAAAACAGAATTCCTCATTATCACAAATTGTTTTTTGGGGGGAGGGTTTATGTTACTTTCCTTCTTATAACTTCACAACTGAGATAACTAAAATATTAGTAGGTAGAGAACAGCGCCTTGGTCTCTAAAACACTTAGTAGTTTCTACTGTGTAAAACGGAAATGACACACATTTCTAGTATTGCATAGGCCAAAGGTCAGCAAATATTTTCTGTTGAGTCAGAAAATATTTTAGGTTTTATGGTCTATACAGTCTTTGTCCCACTGCTCAATTCCACTGCTGAAGCAGGAAAGCAGCCACAGCCAACATGTCTGTGGTCCAGTAAAATACTGTTTATAAAAAGAGCTGATACGCCAGATCTGGCCTGTGGGCCAAGTATACTGACCTCTGCACAGACAGAACAAAGCAAAAGTATAATTGATTTACTATTATGCTTGGTACGTAACAGATACTCAAGCAGTATTAAACTTTTGGGGTATATATATTTCCAATAAATAATTTAATCTTTTAATTAAAATTTTACTTACCTTTATATTAAAACCTTAGAAAAAGTGGGTTTCTGTTTCTATTTTATTATTTTTGCTTTTAAAATACTGCTACTGTTGCACTTAGAACAAAACATAGATAGAACCTGAAATGACGGGGGGAATAATATAAAGGGCACAATGCCTAAAGGATCAGTGTTTTTGTGCAGAGAACACAGTAGGAGCCTCAGATGGCTCCTTTAAAATACTTCCCTTTATAACCTGTCTAGGTAAAAAGGGGCCCCAGATCATGTTGTCACTAAGTTCTAAGTAGCCTTTAAAACTGGATAATTTAACAACACTGTGAAATGGGTAGATGGAAAAATTACCCCAAGTGTGAGCCTTCTGAAGTTTTTTCTTGCCTACTTTTTTCCCCTGTGAACTTGATACTTTTTATTATTCCAGTAACATCTGAATGAGTTCTTACTGTTTTTATATTTATCCCAATCACTGAAGTTTTTAGTTATGTGATTTTTTTCATTCTATCAGTATAAAAATTCTTGTATACATTCAAATCTGTCGATTTTATGCTGCCATGTAATCCCTCCTATGAATTTACTATGCAGTAGGTAATAATCTATACTGGTCACCCCCCTTCTTAAAGTCTGCCTCACTGCATATGAATTTTAAATATATATGCTTGGCCTGTTTCTGGGTTTTCTATTTGGTTCTTTAAGCATTACTTCTGAACCCCACTGAAGGGTAGACCCTGGCCACTGAGGAGAATGGCATAACTGGCAGACTGCTTCTTATACTCCACTCACACTCTACTCTGGCATATCTGTGGCGGCTGTCGGTCCTTGGCCTAAATATTAGGAATGAACACTAACCCTAAATAAAAATGAAAGATACAAAAGTCAATATAAAGAAAACAATGATTTCTACATTTCAGACTCTTACCAGTATTTTTTGATGCTGCAAAGGTGTTGCACTGAAAAAATCATCATGATCATCTTTTGGCAGCTGTTCAAGAAAATCTCTCATCTGCTGCTTCCTTTTAAGAGTTCCCACTTTGGCAGTTATCTTCATGGCTTCCTTCTTATCAGCATCATTGACCTTGCCTTAAGAGTCAGCAAAAGATTTTGGTAAGGATTTGGTCTTGAATAGTAACTGCTCTGAAAGTTAACAGCCTTTGCAAAATCTAAACTGTACATTCATATTAAATAAACTCGGCATCTGTTGTTAATGTTTACAAGCCTCCTAAATAACAAATGACTCTACACTGTGATTAGGGCAATATGATTAGATTACAAAAATACTCAAGAAGAAATTACATTTCGATTAGGCAGGGTGTGGTTGGAAAGGTTCTTTATCTATGAGGGAAGTTACCGCTCCTATTTCCCTTTCTGGTTGTCTACCCTATTGTCTTGCTAAAATATAAACCTTATTGAATTAGGACAGGGATACTGAATGTTCCCTAAAGCTTCGTATAAGACTTCTCTGGCATAAACCTGGCCAGGAATGTGTACTCCTGGGGACTATACACTAAACTTATTCTTACGAGTTTTCTTATGAATTACTAAGGGACCCTAACAAAGTGGCCTCAAATTTAACTTAGAAAAATAAGCCAGTTGTTGGAATCTCTGGATCCAACTGCAGATTTCCTAGAACAAACTCAAAGCACAAGGCTGCTAAGGTTACGATTATTACAAGTAAGTAGCTAGGTCAGACTTAAAAAATTAAACAGATGATCTTTGGAGTTGTTTCTAGCTTTAAAATTGTAAAAACAAAATCCACCTATTAGAAGACACATGGATAAATATAAATTACATCTAATGAGTGATCAGAAATCAATATTGAGAACTAGGAAAAAACTATTTGCTATAAAGGTTACCATCTTGGCCTTTGGGGTTGGCTGGCTTTTTCTTGGTGTCATGTTTCTGAAATTTTTTTCCTCGGGGATCTTCCATGTACTTCCTCTGGCATTCATCCGCAGATCGAGAACCTACAGCCATAGCTACGTCTGACCAGAAACCAGGCTTGTGCTTTGGCAGAGATGCAACAGCACTACAGAAGACCAAAACCAGTTAAAGAACAAGAAATTCAACTAATTAAAAGTAACCTTTTATTGAAGTGAAGGGATGCCACTAAATCAGGAATTTTATCAAAATCATTCTAGGTAACTATTTGGGAAGAAGTTAGTATTCCCTACACTTAATAATTCTTACTCTAATATGAAGATGTGAGTTTATGTATCTAGTAGATGCCTTCAATTTTGTTGTATTCTATCAAACCTTAAAAACTATGCCCAGTCTTTCAACATATTTTCCTAAGTCCAGCTAAGCCATGATTAGATTTTGGGGGGTGGGAGCTGGGGGCTCTAGCATGATTAACTTTTCTGCATCAATGCATGAATCTTCCTGGAGCTAAGTATATAGGAAGACAAGTTCTTAGGTTCTGTATACTCCAGGTTACAAACTCTTACTAAAAAGTGTTATGCTTGCTTTTACTCTATTTTAATTTATAGAACTCAGTATTTTATATATAGTACTTAACTGAGGGAAATGAAAATTGAAATAGAAAAAAACTGAGTTACATTCTAAAATTTCATTGTAAATGATTATTTAGAGCCTGGTATACATATTACTGCCTCCCCAACTCCCAATAGATTTTATATGTTGTGGTTAGGCTGATATTAATAGTTCTGCCAGAAAAGGTCTATTTAACTCACCAATTAACCTATGCAGTATCGTGCTGGAAAAAATTTAACAACTAGTTCTCTGGGGTTAAAAAGCCCTGTCTGTGGTGGTTGTCAACTTCCATATTGTAAATACTTCTATTGTGGCTGATTTCAAGCTACCAGTTATACAGAATTTCTACCATACAGATATGACAGACATTAAAAACCTCAAGGGCACAGATAAGAATAAAATATAGTAAAATATTTAGGAAGTGATGAGTTTAGAGTTTGTTTCTAGTAAATTTATTTTTAGTTTATATAATTTTTAATAATGACAAATTGAATAAAAACATTCAATTTGTAAAATTCCTAAATATTTAAGAGTCAGCTTTTGTGAATAGATATGATCTAACTACAGAATACCACTTATTCCATACATAAAAGGAGAACAGACAACAAATACTAAGAGCATTGAACTTGTTAATGAATGTTCTGCTTTTGCATAATTAATCATTCCACGTGTGTTCTCAAGTGGAGAACTACAGGGAGGGGGCTCAAAGTTCCCTATTTGTATAAACAGCTAGCATGCAAGTCTAGGATTGCCTAAAAGGACTAGTTTGTTATAGTAAAAATACTTAATCCATTTAATATGAAATCATTCTGTAGTTAACATATCTCCTCTAGTCAATCTAAGTAATTTAAAAAGGCAGATGTAATCATATTACTCCAGTCCTACTTAAAAATCATTTCATGGGGATTTCCCTGGTGGTCCAGTGGCTAAGACTTCAAGCTCCCAATGCAGGGGGCCTGGGTTTGATCCCTGGTCAGGGAACTAGATCCCTCATGCCACAACTAAGACCCAATAAAGCCAAATAAACATTTTCTTTTTAAAAAATCACTTCATCATTCTTAGCATAAAAACCGAGTAGGACCTATACTATTCCTTGCCCATCAGTTCTCATCCTCTACTGTTCTTCCCTCACCTTCTGTATGCCAGTCATTTTGGCCTTTTAGTATTTTAAAATATTCTCTCTTACTTTCTACCTCTATATACATGGTTTTAATTTAAAATGTACTTATCCTGGATCTTTGGCTTGAATACTTATTTATCCTTCAAATCTTAGTTCTGGTATCTACCTAAACAAAGTCATTTTCCAGATAAATATTCTCATAAACCTCTTACCGGGATTATTTGCTAAGTATCTGTCTACCCTACTAGGCTATAAGCATGATGAGGGGTATAAAATAGTGGGCTGCAAGTAAGAATCACTTAAGGAGCTTATAGCAAAATTTAAGGAAGCAAGTACAAATAAGCAAACAGATCCATAGACTGTATTCCTGAAGATTTCAATTCAGTAGGACTGGGGTGACAGTCCTTGCATTTTCCAAAAGCTCCTTATGTGATTATTTTGCTGTGAAGTCAGCATTAGAATTGCTTTATGTTGTTTGTAAAAATAAAGTATTACACCTAGTTGAGTGGAAAGCAGGAAGGGGTAATAACAAGGAAAGGTTACAGGGAGGAAGTGACATGTGAGATGAAACTTGAGTGATGGATAAAAATGTAACAGGAGAAAATGAGACAATATTGGCAAAGAAATGAAGACAAAGAAACGGCATATGGCTGCTGCTGCTGCTGCTCAGTCGTATGTCTAGGGAATGGTAAATAATTCATATTTAAAGTCTGGTAAACTTCAAAGAAATGGCTGCAGGTCAGAGTTGTGAAAAAAACTAGAGAAGCGTAACCCAAGCCCAAGTCTTCCAGATCAGAATATTATAATAGTATGCACTCTAGGCACTTATAAATCATTTTAAGTTTATAGTAAAATTGTCCTTTTGGGTATGGTTCTCTGAATCTGTATATACATGTAGATACAAAGCAGCTCCATCAGACTGGGGGGAAAAACTTCTAGTCCTACCTCTTTGTGGTTCACCACTACAACCACTGGAAATCCCTGATCCATTTTTTTTCTTTTTAATTCTGTCTTTTCCAGAACATCATATAAATGGAATCATATAATATGTAACCTTTTGGGCTGGCTTTTTTCACTCAGCATAATACCTTTGAAATTAATTCAAATGGTTACAAGAATGGATTGTTTTTCCTTTTTATTACATAGTAGTTCATTCATTGTTAAGACTGTACCATGACTGCCTTTATGCAAACAGGGCCGTGAAAATCAGGAAGAGAAATGAGCTACGTAAAATCAATCTATAATGTTTATGAACTTCTGGGCTCATACTGCAAATTTTGATATATTTTCTTCTTTGTTCAGTTCAGAATATTTTCCCTTGAGACTTCCTCTTTGACCCATGGATTATATACAGGTGTGTATTTATTTTTCCAGCACTTGGAATATTTTTCTTTTATTGATTTGTAGTTTAATTTAGTTATGGCCAACAAATACCCTTTGTATAACTTCAGTTATTTTCAATTTGTTAACATTTGTCTTATGATCTAGTAAGTGTTCATCTTGGTGAATAATTCACCTATCCTTGGAAAGAATATTCTTTCCCTACTGTTAGGTACACTATTCTAAAATGTCAGCTAGATACAGTTGGTTGATAATGTTGTTGAGTTCTCCTACACCTTCACTAATTTCCTGTCTACTAGTTCTGTTAATTACCAAGAGAAGAACACTGAAGTCTCCACCTATAATTATGCGTATGACTCTTTTCAGTTCAGTACTTTCCTGAAGGACAGGGAAGCCTGGTGTGCTGCAGTTCATGGGATCGCAAAGAGTTAGACGCAACTGAGCAACTGAACAACTTTCCTTTTAGTTCTTTCAGATTTTGATTCTTGTATTTTGAGGTTTTGTTCAGTGCATACACATTTAGGATTAAGCCTTCCTTGTGAAATGACACTTCTATTATTTTGTAATGTCTTGCTTTACCCTTGATATATTCTTCATGCTGAAATCTTTGATCAGTATTAGTATAGCCACTCCAGCTATCTATTGGGTTTGCATGGTATTTATATATCCTTTCACTATTAAGTTGGCTATGTCGTATTTGAAGTGTTTCTTTTATATGACACATTGTGCGATTGTGTTTTTAAATTCATTCTGACAGTCTATTAAATGGTGCATTTAAATTATTAACATAATTAATGCAATTTTCTTTGCTCCCCATCTTCTATTTCTCTTTTTCTGCCTTTTTAAAAAAGTATTTTATCTATTATATATTTGAAGATATCTGTGTAGTTTTTTAGTGGATGCTCTGAAGTTTACTATATACATACTTAACAGTCTACTTTGAATCAATATCTTACAGCTTCAAGTAAAATCTAACCATCATACAAGTGTCTTCCTCCTTCCTTATTGTTATAGTTATCTTCTGTATTACATTTACAAATATTTAAAAATTCCATCATGCAATATATTTGCTTTAAACCATTAAACATTTAAAAGAACTCAAGAGGAAAATAGTCTGTTATATTCACCCAGAGAACTGCTATCTCCTTCCTATTCCTCCACTCCTGATATTGCCTCTTTTCCTCTCTCATCTCTATTCTGCTATTGAGTCCACCCAATGAGTTTTTAATTTTGATTATCTCATTTTTCAGTTCTAAAATTTCCATTTGAGCTTTCTTTATATCTTCTACTTCTTGCTGAGACATTATAAATTTCTGTTCAAGAATGATTGCTTTTAGTCCTGAAGTGTTTTTTATGAGACTGACATGCTGCTCACTATGCCAAGAAGGCAGGTCTAAAGTGTTTTTATATTCCCGCTCCAGAGTCTTATCAGATAATTCCAACCTCTGTGTCATGCCGTCATTCACACCATTTTGAATGACATTATTCCATGTGAGTTGAAATCTTCATTGTTCTTTATATGTTAAGTAATTCAGGATTACTTCCAAGGCATTTTGAAATAGGAAAGTCTGGGTCTTACACTCTATGCTGGTTTGGTATGCTAAGTCATGTCCAACTCTTTGCAGTCCCATGGACTATAGCCTGCCAGGTTCCTCTGCCCATGGAGTTTTCCAGGCTAGAATACTGAGTGGGGTGCCATTTCCTACTCCAGGGGATCTTCCCAACCCAGAGACTGAACCTGCCTCTCTTCTGTCTCCTGCATTGGCAGGTGGATTCTTTACCACTAGCGCGACCGGGGAAGCACCCTATACATTCTATAGAGAATATTAATATTTTTATTTTAACAGGCAACCAACCTGGCTGTAACCTGAATTATAAATTCCAGTCAGTTTTCTGTGGTTGCAGGTTCAATGTTAGTTCTGTTTTTAAAGCTTTGCAGTGCTGTTAGGATATACTGCATGTTGGCTACTGGGTGGATGGCCTGGAAATTGGATGGTAGTCTACCATTTAGTTCAGTTCTCAAAGCCTCTGGTTATGCTGTCTAGGATCAGACCCACAAATGGACAACACAGGTT